TCCATGTTGCCAGACAGGATGCTGGACAATGACGAACTGTACATAATCCATGATTTGCAGACACTACCTTAAACACTGTGGCTGTTCAAATAACAAAGCTGTTGCACAGAATGCAGGTTTGAGGCAACATACCATTTGGAGAGCGTTGAACGAAAATCACTTACACCTGCAAGCGAGTACGCGAGTAAAAGCTTTGCAAGCTTTGAATCCGCAAGATTCAGCAAGTACAAGCTTTGAATCTGCAAGATTATCCTCTGCACCTGAACTTCTGCCTGTGGCTTTTGCAGCAATCTTCATTGTAGCCAGACTTCACAGCTCATGTGCTATTCACAGATGAGGCGATGTTTACCTGTGAGGATGTAGGGTGAATCAAACAACTGACAATCCACCTTACTTGATAAATCTAACTTTGAATATGAATAACAGATCACCAAGAAGTGGAAATATATGTTAATTTTTACACATAACAATTGATTTAATTTAAAGCAAAAATAAAGAAGAACCAACAAAAATTCCCAAACTGAAAAATTTCAGAATCATTTTAAATAAACATATGCAGATTTTTGCCTAAAGAATTGAGAATACACCAATGAAAAATATGTTTAACTCCATCTATATTTTTTCTATGTGGCTTCAATTTCGATCTAATGTTGAATAATCTTACCTTAAACCTTTTCACTTTTGTGATGACGTTTATTATGTGAATTTTAAGCCACACTTTTAAATAGAGAAATGGCTGCTCAGAGAAACCAGTATTGATGTAAGAAAATTCGCGGGATGCCTTTGTGGAGGACTTTCTAAGGGAAACGGGCTCATTTACACGTTACACATGGGGAAAACCACGAAAACGCCCATGCAGCTGGCCCGTTTGCGGGATTTGAACCGAACTACCAGTGTTCAGTGACTTTACCGCTCGGTCGCTGGTGGGCCCAAGAAAATTCGCACTAAAATTATATAATAAAGGAAAATTTTATAGTGAAATAGCTAAAATTATTGGTAAATGTCACATGTATGTACAGAAAATCATTGGAAAAGCTAAAAGTGACAGATTGATTGAAAACAATAGTGGAAGAGGAAGGAAGGGTATTCTAAGTGATGTTACCAAAAGAAAATTTTGAAAGATATCACCATTGATCCTGAAGTAAGTGCAGTCAAACTTGCTGCAGAAACTTCTCAAATAACTGGCAGAAGTGTTGAAACTTTGAGAAATGTAATTAGACAAGCTAGATATAAAAGTAGAATTGCTAGAAAGAGACCATTCATCACTTTGCAAACTCAGGAAAAAAAAGCCTTTGGAGTTTGCAAAAACTCATCAGTTAATAACTTAAGATGAATAACTTTTGGAAGAAATTATATTCACTGATGAAAGTAAGTTCAACATTTTCTGCAGTGACTGTCATCCTACCATATGCAGAAAGGACAAACACCATTTTGGATCCAAAAAATTTACATCCTGTAGTTAAACGTGGTGGCTCCGTTATGGTTTGTGGTTGTATGATTTCAACTGAGGTAGAAATTTAGTTTTATAAATGGCATTATGAATCATATGGTTTACCTGGATGCACTTCACATTAATCTAAAAAAAAGTGATGAAAGTTAAGTTAGGTTTCGATGGAAATTTCATATTCCTGCATGACAATGATCCCAAACACACAGCTCATAACATGAAAATGTTGTGCCTTTTTCGTTGTAAAAGCAGTTATACACACCACCACAGTCCCCAGACATCAATGTCACAGAAAATCTACGAACCACACTCGAAGCAGCGATCCAAAATACAGAATTAAAACAATGCTGCAAGATAAATGAGATAAAATATTTAGATACAAGCGAAAAAGTTGGTCAAATTGGTACCACAACGTTTGGAAGAGATCATAAAAGCCAAAAGACATGCAACAAAATATTGACACTTTCTTTGTATGTGAGATATCACAAAAAATTCATTGGTGTATTCTTAACTTTTTGAGGCAAAAATCTGCATATGTTTATTTAAAATGCTTCTGAATTTGTTTATATTAGAATTTTTTGGTTAATTGCTCTTTATTTTTACTTTAAATTAAACCATTTGTTATATGTAAAAATAAAAACGTGCTTTCTCTTCTTGGCAATGTGTTATTTATACTTAAAGTTAGATTTATCAAGTAATGTGTATTCTCAATTGTTTGAGCCACTGCATGCATGCACATTCTCGTATGTAGGCAACAGAGAATCCTAATGCAATGCGACTATATGCATCTTAACAATGAATCAGCGTGAATGTGTGGGCGGGTATTGTCCGCTTTCTAATTGGTACACCATGGGGAAAAAAGGGGGGACACAGTTCTATATCTCCTGCTCTACTGGGCCGATTGAAGAATTTCAACTTATCTCTCAAAAGCGTGACTTAGGATATGTATTAGACTTATATATAGCATTGTTCTATTACATGTATTTTGATACAAAATCAGACTTCTTTGAAATGACATGCCAAATTTTTTCCATATTTCACTTCTACATCTCAAATTATGTCAAACTGCAAAGTTTTGTAAAAATCATGCGAGAAGTTTCTAAAAAATTAGCTCTTAAAATTTTAGCTTTTTGAAAATAATTTTGAATTATAAACTATAGAATTTTTGCCATCATTTTAAAGTAAATGTATTTCTAAGCATACCCGCAAAAAATTAAGTTTTTTTATTCAAAATTTCTAAGATATACGGATATACGTGAATTGACATATTGGTGTATTTTAAAATTTACCATATTTTTATAAGCGATAATAGTGAAAATGTGGTTTATACACTCTATTAAAATTATTTGAAAGTATGAATGATGACTTTTTTTCCTTTTGTGGACAATGAAAAAAAGGAAAAGAAAATAGGTTGCTATAAATTAAGAAATTTGCCAAGTGAATTATTCTTGGCACAAACTGAAAAAAATCTGCCATGATAAATTTTAAAATTTCTCCATAAATTTGTCACCAAAAACTACAAAATTTAATATCTAGGCATAATTTGAGTTGTAGAATCGAAATATAGAAAAAATTGTTATGTCATTTCAGAAAAAGTCCTATTTCGTGTCAAAACACCTATGTTAGGACAATGCTATATATAAATCTAATATATATCCTAAGTCGCACTTTTGAGACATCAAAAATGCAATTTGAATGCACCAATTAAATGGCCAATGTCATCTAATTTTTCTGGAAGAGTTATTACCAGAACTGCTGCAACATGTTCAGATCTCCATTTGCAAACAAATGTGGTTCCAGCATGACACCAGCCCACTTCAGCACCAATGTTCACAATTACCTGAATACCACTTCTGGGGTGCGATGAATTGGCTATGGGGGACTCGTCCCTTGGTCACCCCAATCTTCTGATTTATTGAGCCTCTATTACATTTTCGGAGCACTTGAAGAGTCTCATTCATGTGACTCCAGTTGACAATCTCATAGCTTGAATATGTACCTGCAACCTGCATGTGTACATCAAATACCTGGCATCTGTGCCAGTGTACGTGAATCACTTCACCGACGTTGTCAAGCATGTATTGCTGTTGATAGACCGAATTTTGAACAGTTCTTGCAAACACCTTGTTTCATTTCAAGCGAGACACCTGTATTTATGACTAAATAAATGGATTATGACCTGGATTTCCTATGCGAATATGATTTGTATCTTTGTTCTGTAACTCCCCTCCAAATTTGTATGGTGAATTTGGAATCACCCTGTATATTAAAAGAAAAAAGAGAGAAAGAAGCCGATGTACACAAGTAGTTCTCTATTACAGGCATTCTGACAATGACTACCATCAAAAGATATTGGCAGGATATTCAAATAAAATGTATTGTAATGTATCCACCATAAACAATGGTTTATGGTGGATATGGATGAAGTGCTTGCAAAAATTCAGATCCTAATGTTTAGTCTCCTGTTGCTTTAGCTATGTCTGAATGGAACACGACTAGCAAGGGCGATGCAACAGAACAGGTATTTCACATTACTTTTAAAAAATGTGTTTAGTATATGAATATTTAAACTTACTGAGAGGCAGCACTACAGTAAAACTAAAAAGTAACATGAAGTGAGAATTTTTCAGACTTTTGAAATCTTAACTACATTGGAACAAGCTCATAACAAACTGAACATGTATGGCTTATTTTAATTTAGATTCCATATTTTAAATATTAATTGCATTCTGCATCGGGTCTTTTAGTAATGCACATTTAAGTGTGTTCTCAGAAAAATTAAATGTAAACTTTTTCTTGTATCAAAGGGCCCTACAACATATCTCCCACAACCAAACACAAAGAGATATTACAGAATTATGCACAATTACAAATTGTTATAATGCATTATCAGCAGTTTACTATGGTACTAAAATAAAATTTTTGTAACCTGAAGATAGCTTGATTAGACTGATAGGAATCATGTAAGTAGAGTGTTATCAATTTGGCAGTGCTCTACCAAAAATGTCTTAACAAATGTGATATCTCCTAATTTAACGGAGACATGAAAATGAATTCAAACAAAAACTACTATTATGCAATATCAAATGGTAGACTGACCATACTTGCAGAATTTACATAAAACAATTACAATAGACTGAACTCGATGCTACATTGCAATGATGCGACTACAAGAAATTTTTAAAAAAAATTCATTTAAATAGCCATCTCGATCTAAAACTAGCAGTAAAATCTCATCAATTTTTTGATTAATTTCCTTGGAGCATTTAATTTTTTGGTAAATAAGTGATTCATATCCAAAAGCTATTTTTTAAACAGCTATGTATTCAAACTGTTCTTCCTTCAGTAACTACTTTTAACATTTTCTATATGACATTAATAAAATAAAAAAAATATTTGTCTTTTCCCCAGTCCCTAATAAATTAATCACTGAGCTAGCCACATCATTATTTGCATCTAAATATATCTGCTTAGCTATCAGTGTATATTATATTCATTTACTTCAAATTTTTTAATAAACTAGTTGTAAGATGCAGTTCTTAATAAAACTTACCTATCACGTGTAAAACCAAGTTTAGGTTCAGTATATGCCAATAAATCTTCTTTCGTCCATGTTGGATTTTGATCACCACAAAGCATTAATCTTGCTTCTTCAGGACTAAAAGCACCAAGTTTCTCCATAGGAAAGACGAGATTGAATCCAGCTAATAAAATAAAAATGATGACAATGATTTACAAAATTAGATACAACATTTGGATTCCCCCCTTAAAATGTCAGATCTACTTAAGATAAATTTTTCAGTAGGTAAAATTAAATTCTAGCATGATATATTTAAATATTCATGTTAATAACTTTAAGGAATCTACTATTAAGAAGGAGAGAAAAGTATCCCCCCAATAAAAGAAATATGTAGAAAAAGTGAGTGTTGTCTAAAAAGTGTCTTTTAAGAGGTCACCAACATGTTTTCTTTATTCCCTAAAAATCCAGGAACTGTATTCAATCTTGTATAAGAACTGAAAAAACTTTCAAGTAGCAATCTATTCAGGTTCAAATTACGCCATTCAAAATAATTATTCCAGTGGTTTTATTCACTTGTCCATCTTCAAAATTGTGACCTTACACAAGTAATTAATGCTACATCTTTCTGTATGCTAAATTATTACAATATGGAATTTTATTAATTTTCATTATTATGATGATGTAAGAAACTCTGAGGTCACAAAACGTTTCCAACTACTGATTTAGTATGTCAGCATTTAACAGCAACTTTCCAATATTCAACATTATCATTTCATTTCGGATAGAATTATTCATAACACACATATCATCCTCAACATATCTTTCAGGGTATTTATTCACATGGATATACTTCCTAAACTTTTGCTACCTTTGTTTTTACTCTGATCAGAAGCAACTTTGAATTACATCTGAAAAGAGCAAACTCGAAATTCCTAAAAACAGCTGCAATAAAACACATTTGTCAGCACTTTTTAAAAATGAGAAAAGAAAGAGTATTTTTGAATAATGACAAAAGAAACCCTTTCACACTCAAAACAGATCTCAGTCAATTTTCCAGGTTTGGTAACTGAATTCTTCTACAACTAAGATTACAGAACTATGAAAAACAAAAGCTTATCAAACAAGGATTGGCACATAATATCTGGGGACAGTTAGATGTAGATTATATGCAGAATTTAATACTAAAGAACAATTTCTTAATAACTCACTTTTTATTTTACATATTTTTAAAAGATTAACTAACAATCATATGATTATACTGCAAGATTACCATATTTAATTTACTCTTGATTTAAACACTGTTAATCAGAAATTTTACTTTGAAAGAAATGAATGTCTGTTTTTCATACAGTAATTGCTAAAACTTACTTTTAAATGCTTCCATCTGCTTACGAATTCCAGTATGAAGACAAAAGTCTGTCATCAATTCAACATACTCTTCAACATTTTCAAGAGTTACTTCCTGAAATGGAAAAAAAAAAAAAAAATATAATAATAAGGAAATGCTACCTTTAGAAACTCTTACGAAGGATAAAAAGATCCATCAATTTGTAGTTTAATGAAAAATTTTCAATGTATTATCACACTGATTAAGGACTGCCACCCACAGCATAAATTACAATTAGAAACTTTTATTTTACCTACTTTACCACTAATGACACAAGCTATTCAATAGTGCAAAAATATGTTTCTGATAGTTAAGTGGTGATTAATAGAAAATGTATCAATTGGTGAACATCAACTAGAAGGGTAAAAAAAGTATTGAAATCTCTATGAGCAGATTGTATATAGAGACTAAGTCCATTTCTATGGGATTTTACACCAAAACAATAACAGAAATAAAAATGAAAAAGTTTCTTAAATTGCATTTTTGAGACTCCTAAATAATTAGAACAAAAAAATAAATTTCTCTCTCCCCCACTTGAGATAGAGCTTAAAAAAAATTCTTTTTTATGATTAAAAAACAAATTCTGCACATTCTTCATACCCATATGCTGGGTAAACAAAGTATCTTCTTGAAATAAATATAATTTTATAAAAGGTAGAAAGGGGATCACATTGTCAGCAGCATTCAACAGTGCATAGAAGGTCGTTTTAAAAGTATACAACAATTCATCTTATACAGTAACTTTATTACTGAAATGTTATGAGCTTTCATAGCATTTTTAATAAGAACCATGAAAGAAAAATGTCAACTATACAGTTATGTATAAAGGGTACAGCAGTTAAATCCAAATCACAAAAAGAAAAGTATGCCAAAAGCACAGAATAAATATTAAGATAAGAACATTCCACAAAAACGTTTAATTGCTGAACCAATAACATGCAATTGAACTGCAGCAGGTAACACATAATTACACAACAGAATAAACCTTATCTTAATAAGAATTAAATTTGTAAGGGACTTTGCTTATTCTTTTTTTTGGGGGGGGATCAGTTAGCAGAAAATGCATTAAGTAGCTTTGGAAGTTGGTAAGTAACCTTGAGGAGTGAATTGAGGTCTGCTGCATAGACACTATGTATTGAATAGTAAAAGCCCAACCATCTGGCATTACCCAGAATATTCTAGAATTTTAGAAAAATTTAGTAAATGGCAGAATTTCAATACAATTATTAAATATTACATTAAAAAATTTAACATTTATTGTCACCAAACAGTACAATTTAGTGAAAATAATGGATAAGCATGACATCACAAGTAAGGTACTTTTGCTTTAATGTAATTTTAAATATTTCTTGATCAGCCAGTTTAAATTTTGTAAGAAAAATATAAGTTCCATTCCCCCGCCATCACATACTGAAACAATGATTACTATTTCAGACTACATGAAATGGAGTGTTACAGAATCCAGACATTCAAGCGCTATATCCATAATTAGTATTTCATTATTATCTAAGTAAATAAGTAGAGATTTAACATTTTCGCTGCAGATTTCATACCAGCACAGAATGTGGCATAAACAGTAAAAAAACAATCATGCACCAGGGCACGAGGTGTCGAGTGTGCTGCCTTAAGGTTCTGTTTTTGGTTTTTCCTCATGCAAACTAAATCAGAGGTCAATCAGTGATAAACTAAAGTGGTTGTTACTTATTGGCTGATGCTGTGTATTTATGTGTGGAATTGTAAACGCGAGGAGATTCTCTGGTTTTCCTCTTTTCTTTGGTTTTTAATGTAAAGGCAACTGTTGCAGCCTAATTGTTTTAGTTTATGAAATATATGTTAGTTTTATTTTAGATTAGTCGCAGTTTTTTAATTTAAGCAAGCCAAAACATGCTTTTGTTACAACTCCAACAGAGTGATGCTTCACTAGCCAGTCACATTCGTGCAAGAAGTGTAGCGCCTCAATATTTAGCCTCCGCTTCATTTGGCATTATATGTTAAGTGTATCTGCTGGTATTGGAGTAAAGGTTAGAAGCTAACTGAAAAGGTATGTTATTTCAAACTCATAGCTTTATCAGTTATTAAAAAATCTTTAAAATAATATATATAGATGATAGTTCTGCAGTGTATTTAAGCCCTGCAGAACTATCATCAAATGCATTCTAATACGTTTCTAACAGATGATGAAATAGCAAATTTTTTGGCTGAGCTTTCATTAAGTACCCGAGTGGTGTTAGTTATAATAGGTACGAAGATTTCACTCCTCCAGAAGGCGCCCATGCTATTTCAGTTTCTGAAGAGCAAGAGTTGCAAGACATGCAAGAGGCGATATGTCATCAGCATAATTCAGGCATGGTAGGAAATATAATTTGGGAAAATTCTCTCACAACAATGGAACAATTTCATGTCGCAAAATCACATTTTTTGTTTCAAGCTGTTTCAGACTGCAACCCAACTGATTACATTCACTATTTATTTAGTGAAAATATTCTGGATGAAGTAACTGCTCAAACCAATGACTATGCTTGTAATTTGCTGACACAAAACAAAGAAACATTCTAAAATTAATGCTTGGAAGAAAAGCACAAAAGACAAAACGCTAGTATTTGTAAGATTAATTTTACACATGGGAATTATAAACATAAACCACATTCAAGATTACAGGAAAGATACAGTTTCTGGCTTGAGTGCATTCTCAGTATGAGCAGGAATCATTTCTTTTATTGATAAGGGCACTGAACTTCACAACAATCCCACAACAAGATGCTGAATCCCCAAAGAATTAACTATATAGAATCAGAAGTATGGTGAATTTGTTCAGCACACAATTGGCTGAAATATACTATCCAGGACGAGAGATTAGTTTAGATGATTTGATATTATGGCATGAGCAGCTCATTTTTAAACAGTATATTCCAAGCAAATGCCATAAATATAATATAAGTTGTGTATGATCACAACTAATGGTACGGCTATCAAATTTACAGTTTATACTGGCATGATGGATGATTCTGGAGGGAAAGGACATGCACAAAAAGCAGCATTTAATTTATTGGAAGGAATGCTAAAATTCGGCATAGTGTATTTATGGACAATTATTATAACAGCTATGAACTGGCAAAATGTCTTGTCGATAGAAAAACTCATTGTACTGCCACAATCACAAGGAAAAAAGATTAGCAAGAAAAAAACTAAAGAAAAGGGAAATGGTAGCAAAGTATGCTAATGGTGTAATGATTGGCAAATGGAAAGACACAAGAAATGTAACTTACATTTCTAATGAATACAAAAGTGATATTGTAGAAATGACAAACAAAAGAGGTGAAATGAAATCAAAACCACTTCCTGTCATTCAGTATAATAAATTTATGGCAGGTATTAAGGTCAGATGCTTGCCTATTATTCATGTGGGGAAAAAAAAAAAAAAAAAAAAAAAAAAAACTTTAGATGGCCTACCAAAACACAGGGTAAATCAAAATGACTGCCCAATTTCATAGGTACACTATGCAAAATGTAATAAATGCATTACTTAAAAATGTATGTACATGCAGAGGTAACATAAGCAAGTTTAGAATGTACTCCTCACAAATGTTCGATATGTGCACCTTTTGTTATAATTTCTGAAATGTAATTCTTGCCAAACGTTGTGCAGCTCATCTGTATCGATGATGGCGAGAGCAGCTGTGATAAGGGCTTTCAAATCAATCATGGTTGTTGGACCTGGAGGCACATACATGCAATTTTTTATGAAATCCTACAGAAAAAAAATCACATGGGGTGAGATCTGGGGATCGTGGTGGCCAAGGCAAGAAAGCATTGGCTATGGTAATCCACCTTTGTGAATAATTACCATTGTGATAATTGTTTACCATTGTAATAACTTATTATTACAGTGGCTCTGCACTTCAGTTGAAATGTGGTGGTGAACCATCCTGCTGCAAAATAAAGCTATTCATATCCTCTTGTAGCAGTGGAGAAGCTATATTTTGAGCATATCCAGGTACATTTCTTCAATCACAGTGGTTTTAGAAAAAAGAACGGACCATAGATAGTTCATAGCACAAAACACATAAACCTTAGGGGAATCACGGTATTGAACTGGACATGGGGATGTTCAGCACCCCAAATTCTCACATTATAACTATTTACTAATCCAGAAATGTGAAAGTTGATTCATCACTGAATACTAACTTTTTCAAAAATTTGTCATCCTCCAAGAGCATCAGAAGTGTCTCACATAAAGATAATTGATGTGGCAGATCACTGGGTTTCAGATGTTGCACTAACTGCAAACAACACATTTTTATCTGCAAACATATTCTAAAAACTTTCCACACAGTTTTCTGGGCTACTCCCAATTCTTGTCCAGCTTGATATGTCAACTTTTGAGAGCTTCTCACATAGCTGGCTTCAATACACTCACCTACCTCTTTCCCTACTGAAGGATAGCCTCTTTACAAATGCAGCCTGTCTTGAAATTTTACACACCAATGATGGATTGTCTAATGATTCGGTGCTGTCTATCTGTATTTTGTTCAGAACTGGTGTAGTGACAACAGACATCTAACATGAAACTCAAGCACACAAAAAGCTTTTTGCTGTTGTGTCTTTTATGATGGTGTTTTTTGCACATTATGCTTTCGTAGGAACACTGATGACAACTGGACGTTCAGCTGCTTATATTATTCAAAAGCTGTTTATATTACTTCTGCATATATGTACACTTTTAATAAATATATATTTATTACATTTTGCATAAGTACACCTATGAAATTCAGGCATTAAATTTTGCTTACCCTGCATTTGTGCAGGTTTTGTAATAATGAATTCAAATCCACACTTTCTTTATAATGAATATTCCACTGAAAATATGTCACTTTATGACATTTGTTTATTGGTGACAAGCAATTTATTGAAACCACAACCTGTCCTTTGTGCTCCTATGCGTAATTCAGCCGAATCAGAACATTCCCAAACTGCAGGAAGAAAAGCAAATTGGAAAGAGACTGCAAAAGTTGTATTCCCTGGGTAAAGACACTAATTACATATGCAAAGTTTGCATTCCCTGGGTAAAGACACTAATTACATATGCAAAGTTTGCAACAAAAATAATGTATTTTATGTCTTATTTTCTTGACTTTGTTTCATTTTTACACGTTAAGTACCATAGCATAATGTGACATTTAGGAAATAATCGTGCCTTTCATGTGCTAACTTGCAGTCAAAATATTCTATCAAGAAAGGCCTTAATACTTAGTAATCAGCATGATACACACAATTATATTTTATTACCACTTTTCAATCATATTTGTTATAAAAAGTAAGTGGCCTTCTGGGAAAACCCCATTTCTGCAGTGGGGCATCAACTATCAATACATCCCCATGTGACTGGCAGTCAACGTGTTAAACTTCTGCCAGAATGACTGGCAACATCTTCGCCAACTTTCATGTTCAGCAGGATTTCATAATCTGATCAGGTATTCTACTTTCATGTTTTCAAGGCCTATGAAATATGTCAGCTTTTGTGAATGAAATATGTATTTTTTTAAAGTCTTACATAATTTTAAATGTAGCCTTTTGATATTCCAGTTGCTAACAAAAGCTAGTTGAATTTTTATTGCAATACAAAGACAAAAGGCACTTTGGTCTATGTTGCTCATTATTTGGATCTGTTACCTGGTTAACCACCGACTGGTCATAAAGACCACCAAATCAGCCTCTAGCAAGACTTTTAACAGGATGCAGTTTGCTGTAAATGAGCCATCATATGGCCTGGGTTGCGTTATAATGGTGTGTTACTACCCCAATGTAAAGGCATGCCTAGTTGCACACTTGTTGCATTGGGGGCCAAGGAAGCTTATGTGACAATTCATTTTTGGTGGGTGCAGGTGCATCATTTATTAGTAAGGATGGGAAGTGCTATGCCATGTGCTGTCTTTGTGTCCCTGAAGGGGAATAACCTTGGGGGTTCGAACTGATGTATGCTACACAGAAATCAAACATGGTACTGCTACACAAAAGTGCACTTCCTTCCTGCAGTGTTAATAACAAACTCTTTCCTGAGGGTAAGGGCTGACCAGATATTTATACTGTCACAATTAATGATAAAACAGTACATCAAATACATATTTTACATCAACATCAAATAATATATATTTTAGAGGCTGTAAAAGATGCAAGCAATTTTGATTCATTATGAAAGTGCTAAGCAAAAATAAAATTTCTTAGATACTGTTAAAAGCAAAAGGATTAAAAATTAGAAAAGTGATTCTGATGCACTACATGATTCTAAGTGTGCGAACTGTGAGGTTCTAATAAAAACTATGTACTAGTAATACATATTTTTGCACTAACAGAGAATGATAAGAGTTCTAAAAATAAAACACACAAAATCAGAGTAAAATTAGACAATGATCTTGGTACTGGTTCAACATATCAGTTTACACATTTTATTCAGATCTAAGCAGACGGTGTCTATGCCATCAATTAACTGAAAATTTCAAATGTCAGAAGTGGAAAAAAATATGCAAAAGCAGCTAACACTTTAAAATCCCACTGGTCAGGAAAGTATATTAGCATACATAAGAAAGCTCCTATTATGAAGAAGCTTGTAATCCATCATTATTAAACTTCCTCATAAGCTCATTTTAAGATAATCTGAAATAAAAAAAAATTCAAACTATAAAAACACAAGGCATCATAATCAAGAATATGCTACTATGTTTTTACCAGTTAGTTGAAGCATACTTGTCTCAAATTTCTGTTTTGGTTTATTTGATCATGGCAAAGGACTTGAGGGCTATCTGCCTATAGGGAGGAATGCCGTAATAGTCGGCCTTCTACAGGAAACTGGCTCATATGTGTGTTATGGTGACCAGAAAAATGCCCACAGGAAAAATGCTCACAGCTTAAGCCCACATGGAAAAAAGCTCACATGGACAGCTCACATTAACCTTTTCAGGGGTGGTATATTTTTATATAATACTGTAGTAAGATTGGAGAAACTGTAGTAAGATTTTGCATATACTGTAATATTTTATACCACTGCCCCTGTATGACATTTTTTGCTCTGTAACTGCCAACAGATCACTTTTGTTTTCTTACTCTATTTTTGCATACTTTGGATGTGTATCTACAGAAATTGATATTTGAATGAAATTATTTCAGTTTGAAGCCCAAAATTTCTGCAGCCTGCATAATGCTATAACTGAACTAGCATAATGTTACAAGGAAATTGTAACTCAGCCTCAAAAATGAAAATCTACTTTTTTGAAATCGTATTTTATGCTTTAGATAATATATAAAAATAACATGCTTAGGCATTTTCTTGTAACTAGTTGTATAAAACTCAAATAGTTGCTTCTTCGTTTTTTCTTCCAAAGATAAATGTTTTACATTTGAACCTCGTGTTGCCCCGTGTTGTGCTCTGTGGCACACAGGGAATTGCTTGTGTTTTCAATTTTAAAAAACTGGCCTTAGAAATTATACCCTCTTTCACCAACTGTGAAAATCTACTTGTATTCTTACCGAGGAAATAATTTATTTTGTGTTGCTTAGTCTCTTAACCTAAAAGCTAACAAAGACAATCCCCTAAAAGCATGCTTTCATATCAGCAGTAGTTCCAGTATGATAGATTGTGAAAGGCAAATCTGAAGCACATTCCTATTTCCTGTGTTTGTAAGAGCTTTCATTTGTGATCTTTTTACAATATTGGTGAAGAAAGCATGACCAAATTAGACATCAATCAATTTTCATTTTAGCTACATAATGGGATGTCTCTCGGGGCTAACGATCTATGAGTGTATAGCTGCATAATGGGTTGTCTCTTGGGGTTAACGATCTGGGCCCCTATTAGTGTGTGACATTCTGATGTCAAATGACAATTTGGAAAAACTATCCTTCTACCACCCATAATTTTATATTCCAATTTGATTCACTTGTAAAATGTTAGTCAATGACTGTGTTCGTTTTATTATTTAATTATTTATTACTTGCTTTGATAAAAAATTCATTGCCATTTTAACTGAAAGAAATTTGATTTAAATTAAAAGAAAAAAGTATTTTTATTTGCGAAGGACTTTAAATTAAGAAAAATTCCTTTTATTTGCATGAAACAGAATACATAAGATACATCTATTTAATTGAAATTAAACTGAACTTTTACTGATGGACAGTTAAAAATAAGTAATACCCATTACTAATTTAATTATTGTTATTAAATAATAAGTTTATTAATTAAATTGTTAATAAATATTAAAAATTGTTATTAAATGTAATTAATATTAAATTAATAGATTTTAATGCTATTCAATTAACAATGAAGAAACATGCAAATAAATTATCAATCACCTTAATTTATTGAGACTGGAAGAAAAAACAAGTGAACTGGACAGTTGTCATTCCAGATATTTTGGGCCCAGATTAATTTTATTTTTAGTGACAGGTTTGCCTAGCATTTCATTACTTAATTAGTTTTTGAACGTTATAAGAACAAATGGTTCTTTTACCTTACTAGTTACTTAATTTATTCTGGATTATATTAAGAGACATTTTACACTTAAAAAGAGTCTTTGCATACTGATATAATATGGATGCAATAAAAATACTGTCCATCATAAAAGCTGTAGTAAGCTGTAGTCAGAATGTATCAAAATGCTGGAAATGATCTAACAGCTAAGAGGTTTGAGACAGACATTTATCTAATGGATTACTAAACATAATTCAGCAAACACATATTTATTTCAAGATCAGATTCCACTCAATAAGTGTTTCTATATGGATACATTATTAAAAATCTAAATTACAAATCACTTACTATATTTTCACCTCCTGCTTTCAAATCTACAGCAGTAAATCCATATATTTCAGATGGAGGAAAGTACTGAAATGTTAGCCTAAACAAAAAACATATCAATAAGTTTATTAAGCTATGGGGGGGGAGAGAAAGCATCATTAACATTTCTTGACATTGGTTTTAAGCATAAAAACAAAAGCTTCCATTTAACACTTGTCCATTTTGATATCAAGTATGTTTTATGCTCAAGTACTTTTCCCATTTTCTTTATATGACATAGAGTGTGTGCTTTTTGCTTATTTGCATACTAATGGACTAGTTCAATTATAGCAAAGGGATATCTACAGTTTTAGAAAATGAAAATTTGTGGAAAATCCCTGATTACCCACATTAAGTTAAAAAAATAATTGCAATACTGCTAATTAATTTGAGGTCGATGCATTTTATTCATATTTTTAAATGCCCATATTTCATGAAATAATCACTATTTTCATTTCAAAATGTTGGTCTAATTTTTTTTTGCCGAAGACTGTCATGTTTCTGTTTATTTTGTTAAATTTGGTTGAAACCTCTGCATGCTATACACGAAAAACACGCACCACAAAGGGGGAGGGGAATTTATAAGAAACCTGTAAAATTAACATACATGATATTTTTACAAAAATGCTTACAGACACTGCACACACCATGTAAAATACAGTGTGACAGTTATTTCCTCATTTTTATGTTAAAGTTTTGTTGTTGATTCCGATATGCACTCAAAATTGAATTTTGACAAGAAAGTCTGAGCTCTAACATGTTATTTACATGATTACAATTACAGAACAATATGTTCAGCATTTCTCTTTGGTGACTTTTAGCTTAATATATGTTATGTACATATACACATGATGGTTAAAAATAAAATTAAGCAATGTCAAACCAAGCCTTGAATTAAAAAATGTGCTAAAAACTGTCATATATTTTGTAGGAATAGCATTAATAAAATTTTCATAATCTTTAGGGAGCAGTCAGAACTTAGCACTTCAAAGAAAATATCTGAAACATATATAAAAAAGTATATAAAACATACATAGAAAACAAATACATCAAAAGATTTCAAACTCCATCATCTCATGGCATCAACCCTTTGAAAAAAATGTTACAAGATGCTGTTTTTATTGTCATCTTCTGCTTTTATTATTTTGCCTTATTTTTTTACTTTGAAATACATCTTGCTCTTCCAAAACTAATATAAAAATATTTTACTCACATTAGTACATTTACATACATGCGGACATATATATATATATATATATATATATATATATACCATTTACCACACACACACATACATATATATATATATATATATATGCAGACTATTAGGATCAACTGTTACAGCAAAATTATGATTTCCAAATATGCAAATAATACATATAACCTTTGTTGTTTTTTGTTTGCCATTTATGTAAGCCACAATTTTCAAATCTCCTGCAACCAAAACAAGAACAATAAATACTTTTTGTAGTTAACCATTTAACTGTTCAATCCCCCCCCCAAATTTGAGCCAAAAATTGTCACTTTTTTATTGCAGCTTTCTGTTTATTTTACATTAGTAAATAGGAAAACATTGTTAAAATTAACATTGTACGATTTTTACGCATTTAGAAAAACTTTCTGACTGCAGATAAAATAATAATATTTTCCCTGGAAGTTGTCTTTTCTTCCTATATTAGCACCCGACAGGAAAGTAACACAATTGTATATATAAAAAATGCAATTACTTCACAATTATGTTCACTTACAATTAATTTATCTAATAATTCTTTTTTACAGCAAAGATCTGATTTAGTGTGATACATTTTAAAAAAAAATGGGTGAAGCACAGTACAGACAAAAATACTATTAAGTCTCTTTTCCTAATTCTTTTGCAATTGTCTTTTTTTTTTTTTTTTTTTTTGAGCGAAACGCACATAGCATGGGGTCTTATATATATATTTTTCTGTACATAAAACCCGTCTAATAAATGTCTTTCTGCCAATCGGATTGGAGCTGATAAGCATCCAGGAAGACCATTTACCTTTTACTTTTGTATGCCATTTAATCAGTCAAACAATAATATCCAATTAAAACTGTAAATTCATATCTTTACCACCATGTTTTTTATACAACATATAAGGGTTCTAAAAACGATTTCTAGCTCATACTAGAGAATTTTCACTAACTGCAAATTCACTTAGACACATTTCACATTTTGATTCCGAATCACAGACCGAATTGCAGGAAATTAGATGCATACATTCTGAACTATTCATTATTTTATGGTAAATAACAGTTTTAAATACTTGTACATCAGTCAGGTTATGAAATCAACAGCAAAATACATGCGAAAAGCTACACACACAAAAATAAAAATCTGCTGAGTTGGGCAAATTACATGAAAGAAGGTACACTTTTGAATCTATTGGAATAGAACAAACTAGACTTCACAATCTACCACTAAATCCACATCTATTGCCATCTATACAACTAATTTGATAATAAAAATAGAAAAGAAACAGGAAAAATAGTAAATGGCACACAGAAATGAGATTGCCTGTACAATCAGGCCCATTCAGATAGCATCCATTTAAAGCACTGGCAAAACAGACAAGTGGTTCTACAACAACAGAAAAGTAATGCATATGAAATACTTATTTTGTTTACATATAACATGAAATTCATCAGCTTCTTTCTAGTAAATGCAACATTTTGTATAAGGAAAGCATTAAAGAACAAACAATTTCAAGAGAGTTTTTTAAATCAGGACTTCATTACACTTCACTACATCATCAGGTTAAAATTTAAAAATAAGTCTAAGATTTATTAAAAAAAAATTTAATGAACATTTTATCTCTCAATCATTATTTAATCTTTAAAAAAGGAAATCGAGCAGTTGCCAAAGCACACATTAGCATATATTAAAAATTAATTATGACAGAGATTATTATTCTTCATGATTATGAACATAATATACAATAAATCTGTTCTTTACATCAGCCTTACCATACAATTATTATAATTTCATACTAACTTAAATTTCCAACTGCATAGCTGCTCTTTTAATTCATACACTCACAAATTCTTACATATTATATTATATATAGGGTGGTCATAAAAAACTTCCCAATATATGAATCCCTAGCGACCTATCTGCTCAACCAATTGAAATAAAATTTCATTGCTATGATCATAATCACAAAGGTACATGAATTGCTATTTCAAGGTATGTACTCGTGATTGGGATGATTTAAAACAATACAGTTTTCCTGTTATGTTTGCAGGAAAAAAAAGTTTGAAATTTCTGAATGGCAACACCGACTTGTTTCCTGCACAAGTTGATCAGTGCAATAAAAAAACCATAAATGGCATTGGAATGATACACATATCCCAAAAATTGCTGGCATCAAACATTAGCAAAGAAAAGCATTGTATAGGACAATGACAACATAAGAATCAATATAGACAGGAGAAAGGAAAGAAACTTCTACTAGAATTACAACTTTTCAACATGTACAATTACAAGTCAGAGGCATCGCCTGTTATTCTGCAGTTTCGTGGCCACTGCAATCCCCCAACCTCATTCTGATAGATTTCTGGTTCTTGGGTCAGAATTGAAAGATGGCATAAAATGCAGAGCTATACAGATTCCTTTCATGGTGTTACATTAGTCACTGTTGGCAACAATCTCAAACATGCAATGCACTATCGTCTGCGAAGATGAGCAAGCTAGAAACTTTTAATTCCAATAAAAAATTCTCCTCTTCTCTCTTCCATTGTTAGTGGACCTTTACAATCCTTTACTTTGCAAATGTTTTATGCCAGCAATTTTCATCATACATAAACCATATTCTAATGCCATTTCTGATTTTTCAGTGTGCTGTTCAATTTGCATACGAAAAAAGTGGAATTTGAAAATTACAACACTTTTCCCCCTCTGATCATAATAAAGAGAGATTTATTGGTTTAAATCATCACAAATAAAGAGAGATCTATTATTTTAAATCATCACAATCTCAAGCACACACATTCATACAACAATGTCTGAAATTTTATTTTGATTTCTTGAACGGATCTGTTGAGGGGTTTATATATTGAAAAAAAATTTTATGAGCACACACTATATACATAAAAGAACCTCAGTAAAACACATAAATTTATTTAACAGTATTTTAAACTTACGCAAGATCTTCGATTTTAACTGCCATACCGGACCCATTTGGAGAAGGCATAGGAATGCTCAAATTCTTTAACTGATTTATTCTATCTTCTTTAGAAAGACTTCTCTCAGCTAAGATGCAATGTTTTTTGGTTGCAAGTTCTTGCAGTTGTCTTAAAAATTTAGCCTGCAACTCATTAACCTGATAAAAAGTAAAATATAGTGTAAAAAAATGCTAATATATCCTGCATTGTTACCTTATACAACAAGATTAATTAAAAAGTTAACACTTTAGGAATACTGATAATAACTAATCAAAATGCTTAATGCAACAGCACACAAGCTTAGCTTGAATAATCTCTTATGTTCCATTTACAAGAGAATTTGTTTCCTTGAGTTTGACTTTCCTTTAGGTGAGATTAATTTTATATAATTTATTCATATGAAAGGTAATATCTAATACAATGCTGGATGAAAGAGAATAGGTCCTAAAAGTATTTCCCTATACACTGGCTGAAGCAAAGAGACATCTCTCCTCCCCAAGACTCAAAACATAGTCATTTGTCATAAAATGATATCGATTTAACTTAGTAGAAAAAAGAAATTTGGCATAAAAACAAACTCGTATACAATAGCAAGTCTAAAATCCAGACCTTTGGATCCCCAGGTAATAAATAAAATAATCCCCTCTTAACATGCCTAGGAACAGAGAACATAATAACAAGAGGAGGCAAGTGAGCTGAAATGAGATTTCTTCGTGCTAAGATTCCTGCATGTCACTTTCAAATAGCCGCTGGTTTAGGTGTAGGCATCGGCTGCCAAATACTCAAAACATAGTCATTTACCATAAGAAATCTTCAGACAACTTTATTTAAAATTAAGGCTTTTCGCATTATTAAATTAAGATCATGCATAATTTTCTTATCCATTCAAAAAAGGAATTCTGTGAATAAGAGTGTTGGTCTAGAACATAAGAAGTTTCTTAACTTCAAATCTATCTTTCAAATCAAAAATCCTATTGCTCTATAATTAATGATTTTTTAAATTTTATTTCCAATTAGAGCAGCCTTTATCGTAATAATTTAATATTTAACCATTTAATTTCCATACTGTTTACTTTTTATGATTTAAAAGGAAGAAAACTTATTTTTAAGACTTGCAACTAAATTATTATTAAATACAGTTTTAGTTATTTATAAATCTGATTTTATTTATTCATATAAATGAATATTGCAGACTTTCTAAGGCAAACTAGATTGTATTTCCCTACATGTGAGAAAAATCACAAAAATACCCATGCAGCCAGATTTCTCACAAAGATTCAAAACAAAAGTCAAAATACCTGTGTTCAGTGGTCTTATCCAATTAATCCCACTGGGTTTTACAATTCAGTAAATCGCAGTAACTCTCACATTGAATTAAGAGATGGAAATGATACAATTTGAAATACTTAAAGGAATTTTTGTAAGGTATGCAAAGGAAGAAGGTTTATGTGAAGCAAAAAGTCTTGTTTTATTGCTACCTCCATGAAATATCCATTATGGTATCAAGCACAATGCTACAATGAAATACCACTGAATGAGTTTGGGTATTCATCCTCCTTTTACATCAGAATACAATGCCATTGTTTCAAGTACTACCATTTCAGAAAAGTGATTAGTGACAGTGCAAGAAGGTAATAACTTTAATGAAGCAGTAATGGCAATTTAATGCTTAAACCTTGAACTGTAACTAATAATTTGCAGATGGCTTTGAATGAAACTGTATATTATAAGGACTTCTGCAAGGCACATATTTAATTACCATTATTAATGCCCATATAGGTTCATTACAACTCGAGAACTCTTTCACCTGAACTCAGATGCAAGTGAACCTTGATTCCCCCCCCCAACCTGGCCGACATTCACTGGAGCATATTCTTTGTTTCATGCATTTACCATTATTTGTTTTGAATTTAAAGCATATTTTCTGCCATTTTTTTTATTTTCTCTTCAAATGCACATACATATACTGCTCATTCTTAAATGCTGGTAAGTGTTGCACTTCATATTTGAAAATCATGGGAAGCAAAGTCAAAACTTTGGTTTTCCTATAACTACAGTCCCAAACAAAAGATTTAATAACAACTAAATGAAGCAAAATATCAGTGAACGTTAACTGTCAAAGCATACTCCTACATTTTAGATATGAAATGATGACTTCTAACAAAATAAAACACATGAAATTATGAAACACGGAATGATCCATAAATTTGCACAACCTAACATTACTTGAATTAGGAACAATGATTTTGCTTCTACTGTTCTACACAATTTCTTTAGTACTTGCATTCAGAAAATACACATCTTAATTTTAAGAAATCAGTGTTCCAAAAATTCATCAGATTTTTTCCAGATGCTTGAGTTAATGTGCATATCGTTTACTGTAATAAGTAGATATGAAACAGGAAGGAAAGAGGAATGAAAATATGAGGAGCAGTAAAAGTCAGTCACATACTCTTAATAACAAAGTATAACAGTTATTAACTATACTACATAAAACTCAAAACATAAAAATAAACATGAATGAATGAAGACTGTATATATGCTGAGCAAAGACACCCAGACTAAATTTATCACTCAGAGCCTTATTCTGGTGAACTAGAAGGATTAATGCAGTATATATCATATAAAGTATAAAACTGCAATGACCAAAAAGAATCTGTAGCATGTGATAAATATGTGGGTATTACATAACTAAACTTTAAAATATAAATCAGAAGACAGAAGTACAAAGAAAACGTGAGATTTGAAAGAATAGATGGGGGTATGTTTAAGGGGATGAGAAATTTTATGTTAAATAATCTGCACATGCTATGGAATTCATAAATAAGGCAAATTAAATTTTTAATAAAATATATCTGAAAGACCTGATGACATTTTGGTTGGTTTATACATTTAGTATTTATATAATTCACATTAAATTTTAAACAAATTTACAAATAGTTAATGATATTAACATTTGCAGTTAAAACCAGAACATTGTACGAGGGCTATCCAGAAAGTAGATTACGTTTTGGAATAAAAAAATAACAAAGTATAGGAAACAATTTTTATATATACAGATGAAAGCCACACTCAAATACTACTTTTCTACATAATCACCATACAAATTAAGGCATTTTCGTAGCGTGTACGAGCTTGGAAATTCCTTCATCGAAAAATGCGCCGCCTGCGCCTTCAACCACTTCGTTAACCTCTTCTTGCTTCCATCTTGCACAAAACTTGTGGTAACCAACTTTTCGCTGATGATTTCGTGCAACAAACTTCGCGAAATTTGTGGAAAACTCAAGAAAGTCCGTTATTGTGAAATTTCGATTTTCACGGACTTTAGCATCGACTTTTTCGGAAGTTCGGCGGTCACTATGCTGGTCTCCACTTCGATCTTCGTCGTGAACATTGGTTCGGCGGCCATTTGAAATCTTATGACCCACTGACGCACTCCACCTTCAGTGATAATGTTTCCCATACACTCACGAAGCTGCCGATAGATTTCTATCGGTTTTACAGTTTTTTGCAGTCAGAAACCTTATTACTGAGCGCACCTCGCAGCTCGCGGGATTTTCAATAACGCAGACATTTCAAACCGTCACAGTATCTGAACGGAGCACCGCACGAACCTCCACTAGCACGGCTTAGATGCAGACTGAGCTGCGCAACGCTCTGACCCCAAGATGGCCGCGCTAGCCCCGCCCCTAGCGGACACAGACGGAAACGTAATCTACTTCCTGGATGGCCCTCGTGACTACAACATTAAGCTGCGGAAGTGAAACAACTAAAATTATTTTAAACTACACAGTGAACATGTGCATATTCTAAGCATATATATGTGTTGCACTCTACAGAAGCCAGTATTACTGCCATATTATCAAACTGCTAAACCGGTAAATATACCAAAAGAGTGCATTTGCAAGAAAAGTTTGGGTAGGTGAAATGGATTATTTGCAAACACAACGAGAAATCTGAAATGACTGCATAAAAAATTTCATTTTGAATGTTTTTTGTGCAGGATCTCTACATAAAGAAATATGAAAGTATCTGTAGATGCATGTAAACTAGTTAATCAAACAAAATTAACACAGTAATCCATTTCTGCATTTTGTATCGAAAACAAAAGATCAAAACACTAAAATGTTATAAAAAGTCTCAACGTAAAAACAACGAATATGTAATACTTAAATTATCAGTCTCAGTAAACAGACCCCCAATTTGTCTTATAAAAATACATTATAAAATTTTGACTTACTTCAAGAAAATCTTCATAACCCAGAATGCCATAAAACCAGGCACATGATGGCTCTGGTAGCGATTTTTTTGACTTCTTATTTTTTTTCAGCTGTTCTTCTGTCAAAACAACGTACAAATCATCCTCTGTAAATGATGAAACCATGGCAGCAACAGATGGATTAGGAGCAGGTTCCCTGAAATAAGTCAGTACTCTAAGAAAATGCAATTAAACAAATGTCACAATAAAGTATAGTAAAATATAGCACAGTTACCTATCACGCATCTTGCTCAACACTTCCCCATGGCACATCAGTTTAAGAAAAGGACGAGAAAGAGGTAAATCAACCAGGCGATTATCTTGTAGAGCTTTAGCTAAGAAAATTCCCAGAAAATGAAAGTAACGTTGAACACTTTCTATTATCTCGGAATCTTGAGGAAGTGGTGCTGGAAACAGACCATATGAGTTGCTTATGTAATAACCAGGAGGTTTGACTGTTTCATTTTCCATACTCTGCATTAAAAAAAATTCAGGTAATAATTTAAACAATTATTTACAGATGCAAACTACCTACTACTTAATACATGAAAAGAATATTTATTTAATTTACATATGCATTTGCCATTATGAAAAATAGCAACAAACTTTAATTTTGCAACCATAAATATTTAAATGATTTTAAAAACCAATAACATACATAAATAAGAGACATTTAAAATTTCCAAAAGCAATTTCTTAATAATATGCTAAAAGAATATGAAAATGCAAAATCCATCAGAAAAAATGTAAAAAATACATACATTACAGACTAAAAATGATGGCATATCAATCAGACATAACTTGCAAAGGTACTTTTTAATTGCCACTCCTTCTCAGAGAATGCAAAATTAACTATCTGGATGGCAATCTAATTTACTTTTAGATAGGTACATTTCAAATGGTAATAATTTGACAGTTTGACTTTTTATTAATAGTATGACCTCGCATACTGTTAACAAAATTTAAAAAATAATATAACAGCAATGTAGTTGTGATTTCAGGGACAGATGAAAGTTAAATTTAGGTAACATAAAGACAGCCTCTAGTCAGCCTGCAATTTAAAAATGAAACTTTGTTCTAGTAGCTAGAAATTATTCTTAAGATAACTATTATTTTACTTTACCAAAAATTGAGGGATCTAGCCTCTCCAAAAAAATTCTCAGTATCAGAGCATTATTTTTAGTAACAGTCAAAATTCCTACATTGATCATGAAATTTAAAATGAACGTCACTCTCTTCAGGACTAAAAGATTCACATGAAAAATGACAAAAGATAATGAACTACTGATGACATTCTTATAAACTCTTAAGTAGGTATGAAACTGATTACTTGCAGCTTCACTTCAATTTTAGATCACTGAATGAGGTGGTTAATAACAAATAACATGAAAAAAGAATTTTTGTTGAAAAAATGTTCAATAAAGGCATCTTTCGCAAACCATGTAGCACAAACAAAATGCAACAGCAAAATAGCAATGCACTTTCACTGAAAGTTCCTGTATTCAATATATTTCAACATTTAACAATACAATTAGATTTATAAATACAAAATCCGGTCTCGTCAGGACTTCGTCGATTCCAGATCAGGGATTTTTCTGGATATTAGATCATCAGTTTAAATCCAGTAAGATGGCATGTAGAAATTATAAAATTAAAAATATGAAATTGTGATTATAAATAAGAAGTATTTATGATCTAAAAAGGGTATCAAAATTTACACACAAAAAACTTAATAGTTATTTACCTTATTAAACTTCTTCAATGTAGTTGTGCAAATTGCTTTGTTTTTTTGTGCTAATACTTTCTCTTTAATTCTGTAGACAGACATAATCTCTTGTTTAGTTACATTGTTGAAGTCCTATAGCTGCTATTTCGAGAAGTCCGACTAACTTGTCAATTGAAATTTTCTCATTTTCAGTAACTTCTCTATCACTTCTTCACTATCGGTAGTGGTATTTTATGGATCTAGAACCATACTACAGATTTGGCCATTCATTAATTGATTGATGATTGAGAAGCATTGTCATCACAATGAAAAACTTCTTTTATATCATCTTCATTTATTACCGCTTCTCCACATTTCTTTACAAAATCTGTTAATCGGAAAATTTCACCTTTGTTATGCAATATCCGAAAACCTTTAAAATTAGCAGCTATCATTATCAAATTTAGCTATTCATCACTATACATACTTGGCTATGCATCATGAGCTTGATGACTAACAAGTTGTTCTATTAAATTTTATTTTGCTTCTATCGCACACTGAGACAATTAAGCGTAAATTGTATTAGTTTAGTTCTTTATTATATTTATGTCTATTTTTTGCACATGCTTATCAGAGTTCTGAATAAATAAATTCCCACCATGTACTTAAGCCTTATTGAGGGCAGGATTTAGATATCTTACTGCCTGATTCAGTCTCTGTGGGTCCTAAATTCTGCAACTCAATGCGGCCATACGAGCCCTGGCGCTGGTTCTGAGTTTATGTGAATAACAAATCAGTTATTCTTAATTCAAATAGCCCTAAATGTAATCTTTGGGACTATGAGCAACATCAACAAAATCTATTTTTAGCATATGGAAAGAAAGTTTTGATAAATTTTCCCCTGTCAACATATTTTAGCAAATTTAACTTAAACTTGTTATCATCGTCACGCGTAATGCCAACATAAAATGTTACCACACTCCTTTATTATTCAACTAGCTGCGGGATCAGCTTTCGTCTGGCTTTTAAATATACCAGAAAAATGCCTGAAGGGAACACCAAACGTTAAATTTAAGAACTGTGCAGCATTTTACTCTGCAGAACAACTTCATAAAAAAAAAAAAAAAAAAAAAAAAAAGAGAGAGAAAGAGAGAGGGAAGGGGAACCCCACAAATTTTTTTAAAAAGGTATTACATATAACAAACTTACAATGAAATTAGCAATATCCCTTAATCATGGATACAAATATTAATTAGCCTAATAAATAAATTAACCAACTTCCTATTGCCTTCTCTCAATAAACGTCCAGTATCCAAGAGAAATATCAAATTCAAAAACAGTACAGAATTATCACCCTCATTTTCCCAAGTGGCAACTGTGCTGATTTTCAACAGTCAGCAGTCCAGTATACAATTGAATGAAAAACTGTTGCCAAAACCACTTTTCTAAAAGAATGAAACTATTCAAAATGATGTGATAAAATCAAAAATATAAAATAAAAAAACATTTGATTTGAATTTGGAAAAAAAAATCGCTTCAATGTACACTGGCTCTTATCTAGATGCAGCTATATACCAAATTTTCTAGCACTGGGTCTATTAGCTTACACGCAGCATGAACGAAAGATACACAGACACTTTGTTTTATTATATGTACAGATTACTAACATAAAAAAATTGTTTAGGCATCGTTACATGAGTCATTTCTCAATTTGGTTTCGGTTTGAGATGTATGCCAAGCACATATGCAGCAACGGAGCAAAAATATTGATTGTACTAATTTATGCTAAAATGACTGTTTCTTCAATAACAAGGTACTATGTTATTTAGTGTCGAAGTGAGATTAAGAATTGGGACTCTCCAGATGTTTTATTATGCACAGAGGGAGAAATCAAATGTGCAAGCGTAAAGCCTATGAGAAAACATTGTTGGTGTTTTTGAGATCTGGATTTTAGATCATCCCAGATAATGGACGTCCGGATTTCACACTTTGTACCGCATTATCAAGCAATATGGTTACACTTTGTATTAGCATAAGTGAGGAAAAGATTAAAAGGAGGGAAACTGAAATTTAGCTACATATCTGAAAGCTGATAAAAACAAGTAAAATATACATTTCTAGAGTGAATTAAGCAATAAAAAATTATACTTAATTTGTTAAATATATAATTTTGGGACAGACAGCTTACACACCGAAACTAAACAAACTGAAATACTAAATCTGAAAACAAAGTATATGACAGTTGGGTTAGTAATATTTCAATGTGCTCATTTGGCTCCTATCATACAAAGTACTTGATAAGTGACATGAATAGTCCCTATTCACAGAAATTACAGTACATCATGTGGCACATAACTACTCTGCCAGAATTATTTTCCTTCACATCATGATTTCAAATCAAGTTAAGTCAGCTAGAGCTACTTGCCTAATGGGAACATTCACGAAGGTTTGCCGATGGGAAACCTGGCTCATATTTAATTTAGGCATGTATAAAACCTCAGCTCCTTCAGTAGCCAAAAGAAAAACTAGGATGAAGCATCACTAGAATTTCTTTGTCTTGTAGCAGGCTATTTTAGGGGGAAAAAAAAGTTGAAAAGTCATGCTATTAGCATGAATAAAGCCTGCTAGATTTTATTAGAGGACTACTTGAAGTCAAAGCTACAGAAATCATTCAGTGTCACTGTCAAATTAATATTTTGGGGGGACACAGAATGAAATAAAGCTATGCCTGACTAACAAATAATAAAACTATTGCATATGAATTCTCATAACATAATGGTTCAGATTTCAGCAACAAATTCAAACTCCACTAGAGTTTCAGCTTGTGGATGTTTTCAAGAAACAGAGCTTGATAATGACTAGTTAATTAAGACACAATAACATGCCAAACAAATACTAATTCAGACAAAAGTCAAACAACAAAAATCAATGTTATATTTACAAATTTTCACAGGACTAGTTTCGATGGTTTTTACCGAACCACCATCCTCAGCTGCAAAAGCGCAAAAGAATTAGATAGGATATAATGATTAGATAAGAAAGCCTGGACACAAAATAAGCTAGTGGCGCCATCTGTTGATGAAACCAGAACTAAAACATAATTTCTTTAAAGGCCGAAGGCAAAGATGAATTGAAATTAGGATCGTTAACTAGAACAGAAAGATTTTTTTTTTAATGTGAAATGCCTCTGGAAAATCTAGTTCACCAATGGAACATGTTTTTTGAATAATTTTGGCAGCAGAAAAATTGAAAGTGTGATTTTCAGACCAACAATGTTGGGCAACAGAAAACTTCTGTTTCCTTTTTTCTAACATATGCCTCATGTTCTTTGATGCGAAATTTTAAGGCTCTCTAAGTTTGCAATGTAAATAAACACCACACTGAAAAGGAATCCTATAAATACCCAGGAATTCATATCCGGAATGGGATCCTTGAGTATGAAACTCGGAATTTTATTGATGGGAGAAATAAACGACCGAAAAGTTAAATTTCTTGAAAATATGTGCAACTTTATAGCTAACTGATGGAAAGAAGGGAACGACAACAGAATTTTTATAATCTCCTAAAACAAGAGTGTGTCTTTTAGTGTGTTGAGATGAGAATTTTTTTTTAACTGCTTGATAAATCATGTTGGGTGAAAAGCCCCTGTCAATAGCTATTGCTTTTAAATAATTTAGTTCTTCATCAAGGGATAGTTTGGAGGAGCAAAGTTGAAGAGCACAGAAAACATAGGAATAAAATGAATTTGCGTTTTTGCAGCTGAGGATGGTGGTTCGGTAAAACCCATTGAAACGAGTCCTGTGAAAATTTAAAAATATAACGCTGATTTTTATTTTTTGACTTCTGAATTAATGACTAGTTATTCATCTAGCTATTTAAAAATGTCATTTGACATGCACACAAATCATCTTTTAATATGTTTTAATTTCTTTTTGAGAAAGGCAAACTTTCTATTAACAGTTCATACATTCTGCAGTGCTAATTTTTTACTTTTAGTACTTTCGTACTTACTTCTTACCTCGTTAACTGCTTCTTTTACATTTAGCATTTATCCCGATATGTCATTAGTCTCAGACATATCGGAGGGGGGGGGAGTGCTAATCGAAACTACAATTACATTAGACATGCATATGTTTTAAAAGTATATACACATTTCTTAATCATACATATTTCTTATAAAAATGATAAAAATTCTAAACCCCCCCCAAATAATCTTGTATTTACAAATATCTAACCACAAAATGTCATAAAAGATATATTGCAATTCCTAGTTTTAGCAATTACACTTATCGTAAGTGAGGTATACTATTCCAGCAGAACTATCAGGTGGGTTCTCAAACTTGGTTTATAAATCTAACAACATTTAACCTATTCTAAAGATTTAAAAAAAAAAAAAAAAAAAAAAAAAAAAAAGTAAATTGTAAAATTTTCCTTTAAAAACAATTTAAAGCTTTCAAGAGTAAATCTACTTTTGTACTTCTTTTGAAAATTAATTTCATACTTTTACCACCTCCATTAGCCCTCTAAGAGGCATAGCTTTTTTAATTTGCCCATCAGGACCTGTATTTAAAAAGCTTCTATTAGCTACATTTTTATAATTACCTATTTTAGGCTCTGTTTTCATAAATTTCCTATCTTTAAGATATTTATATTATTGAAGAAAGTAAGAAAGCAAAATATTTTAAATTATAATCTTTTATATAAAAGCTACAAAAAATCTCATAATCTCATGACACCATAGACGATCATGCCACTCAGAGAGCTTAACTTGTTACATAACAAATTCTTATTCTTGTTTGAGATGTTAATACAAAATATTAAAATTACATACAATTGTAAAATGAGAATCTCTAATATCATCATTGCACAGCCATAATCTTAAATCCTTCCGCTGTAGTTCAGCAGCAACTAAAGTGAAGAACTCTAAAGTAGGACCTAAGCCAGTGCCTTCTTCATTTTTGAATTCTACCTGTTAATGATGAAAAATAAGTAACTATCATTTTTAACCATAGATCACCATTAACATGTTAAACAATTATTAAAGAACTGCACATAAAAGCATGTATTAATTTTGGGAAAATTGTGATATAATGGTCATGAGCAAAACTCGATTTTCTCATCATTATATACTATTCCTTACTCACTTGACTGCAACAGGGTGTGACACAGAATGATTAGTTAAATGTTACAAAGTAAAATACCCTTCTTAATTCTTCGAATATTTTATACAGTTATACAGACTAGTCACATTAATGTGACCACTTATCAAAAACCAGAATAACCACATTTAGTAGAGTGGGATGCTATGAGACGTGAAGGAAGAGAGTCAATTAGGTTCTTGACAGTCTTCACTGGGATATTGAGCCATGCAGACTCCAGTGCAGTGGCTAGCTGCACTAGGTTACGTGGCTGAGGACCCATGGCATGAACAACTCGATTGAGGTGGTCCCACAGGTTCTCGATTTGGTTTAAGTCCAGGAAGTTTGCTGGCCAAGGAAGTATGGTAAACTTATCCTGGTGCTCTTTGAATCACGAACGTACACTGCGAGCAGTACGACACTTCATTGTTCTGCTGGTAGATACCATTATTCTGAGGAAAAGCAATTCGGATGTAGGAGAGGAGAAATGTTCCCCAAGGACAGATGCACATTTCCATCTATCCATCGTGCCTTTCACAAAGATGACTACACCCAGAGAATACCACAAAGACGACTACACCCAGAGAATACCACAAAGACATTCCCCAAACCATAATGCTTCCTCTTCCAGCCTGGAACTTTCCGGCAATTGTTGCAGGGTGTTTGCTTTCCGAAGTTTCATGCCGTATACACCAATGTCCATCAGTCTGATGGAGCATAAAACATGATTCATCAGGAAAAGCTGCCTGTCGCCATTCAGTGGACATCCAGTTGTGGTACTGGCTTTCAAATTCTACCCTTCGTCACTGATGAACTACAATCAACATAGGTGCTTTAACAAAGCGTGTACTGGGAAAGCTCATATGCAGCAGCATTTGCTACGCCGTTGTTTAGGAGACACTTTTGGTAGCCCCTTGGTTTCTCTGGGTGGTCACTTGCTCTGCGGTTGCATGTCTATTCGCCTGAATGCACCACCACAGCAATTGTTCATCTCTGTTATCTATGGCTAGAAGTACACATTTGCCACATCACTGATTTTGGATAATGCCACTTTGCCAGACATGGTACATTTTTTACGATGGAGCATGCAAGCAGTTTACAAAATTAGCCACTTTAGAAATGCTTCCACTCTCGGCATGAAAGCCAATGATCATGCCCGTTTTGGACATTAGATAAACCGCTTCATTTTTGCATTACGCCAACGATTGCAATGTTTTAGGATTCTCTTGGACAACCTTTATTATACGCTCCACTGCAATGTGCTGCTGCCTTGCCTTCTGTGATTGTTTATTTCATGTTGACATCGAAAGTAGCTAGTGGTCACATTAATGTGACTAGATTGTGTATTTATAAATTATTCACATTTACAGTAACATAAAAAAAATTTAAAAAAAGCTTTACTTATCTGTAATGCTGAGAATAAGCCAGGCATGTTTTTACTTAACTCAGTATCTTTCAGAACACTAACATCCCAATTTAAAAAAAACGGGGGAACCTCATTTCCTGAGCACAATATAACTGAAAAACTCTTGCACAGGGGGTTTCATTTTGTATCTCATCGATATAAAAAAATAATGCATGTTAAACATTTAGCCTTTGAATGAGGTACTCAACACATGACAATTTTCAGTATCTCATGCACAAATTCTCAGACCAAGCACCCGCAGCTCAATATTTTTTGTAACCAGGGTTAATGCTATTGTCGCCACGCAAAATTATCACCAAATCGTAGCAAGCACAATAAATTATAATCCCAAAATGGTTTTTCAAAGACATGCATAATTTACTTACAAAATTGTTGACTGTACATAAATAGAAAGCCTGCCCTTCTATTTCCACTCACCACACAGATTGATGGGACAAAAGAAAAAAAGAAACTGCTTTAAATTCTACAAATGTGTTTTCAGGATAATACAGCATATAACCTAACTAATAACAATTTTACTACTCTGAAACAGTTAATAAAATTTATATTACATTTCCAAGAACCTAATCAAGTCTGAACCCATGCTTTGAATTTCTTAACTTTTAAAAGCCAGTGGTACAACTGTTGCACCAGGAAAATTATTTCCTTTAATATCAGCTATGGTACAATTTGTTGTACCAGCATTCCCTTCCCTGTTTTTGACAATATACTTGAAAATGAAATAGAAGTTATTTCTTTTTCAAACATTAGAAGACAGTGTCATAATTTTAGAGTGCAAACTTTTTTTATTTGTGCTATATTTCATTCTTATACCGACACTTCATTCCAAAGGTCTCAGTCAGGATGAAATTAACTGAAAAATTTAGAAAAGGAAAATTTCGCTCATACTAATTCTGACTATTCATATGAAGGCAAAATATGTTTTGATCAATCTTTTAAAAAAGATAAAGCCTTCGAAGAAAATTCTAATAATTTATTTGAATAGAGCCAAATGAGGATGACAAAACTGAGATGACTTCTACATTTAGAAGATCCTAGGGTAAATAAATACATATCACTAATTTTTCATGTTTAAACACCTTGGTTCAGGTCCTGGCAAATGAGCTAGCTGTATGATCATTTTGTGGTTTTTCCCATGAAAATGAGACTGTTAGCTAGTTCTGAGTCATCTATGAAAGCATCACTCTCTACCAAAAACCCCTACTGTACTTTGCCTTAATCAAATAATCCAACTAACATTTAAGCTTTTTCCCTCAAGCTGAAAAATACTGTATTTAACCCTTTCGTGATGGAAGGGAATCAAAGGCCGTCACCGTACAGGATGGAGGTTTTGCATTGCTAAGCCTAATTTTATATATATACAAAAGTTTCACTTCTAGCATCGTAATTTTTGGTATCATTTTATTATTACTTGAGCTCTTATATATGTTAAAATTAGCACTTAATAATGTTTTTTTTTTCTTTATTTTACATGAAAATATACTTACAAAATTGCTTATCTCGTAATTTTCGGAAGCGCTATCCAAATTGTTCCAAAGTTTTAATTGATAAATCCATCAATAAAGTTTAAAATTAATAAAACAACACAATTAAGATTATTTATAGTAAGTAGTAACAAAATTTAAAATGAAGACTGAGGGTGGTAAATCTAAGCATGGAGAAGTATCACTTTCTAATTCTTAGAAAAACTATCATTTTCATTAACTATATGAGGGCATTCTTCCTCTGATAAATAGCGCCTTCCTACCATAATAGACTGCAGGTGAGGCTTTCCGAAATAAAAACAGAATCAACGGAAATATATCTGAAGGCAATGCAAAACGTAACAGAACTCCACATAGTAACCCTTAAAGACCATACATAGTAGAAGGGAAAAAATATAATAAAAAAAGGAATCGGATAAAAATCAGACACGTGAATGTTGATATTAGCATGCCGCGATTTAAAGAGCACACCTCTGCTTATGCTTTTCCTCCCTTGCAACACTTGATGAGTAAAATACCAAAGTCAGGCAAAATGTATGAAACTCAAGGTCAGGAACCTAAAACTGTTTTCATTTAAAAAGTAATGGACATAGAATGCCATCTATTCAGAAAAATGTTCCAGCTTAAAATGCATATACGCATCACCCGTCCTCTGAATTCAATCTCTAGTGATGCGTGGATGGGACGTCCGGCTGTAAGAGATGTTCTTAGGAAATGCGTATATGAGACGCTCATCCTGAAAAGGTTAATTACACCAAAACAGCCAGGTGCTATGCAGATAAGACCATTGACAATCTCATTAGGTAATAGGTAGGCTGATCACTATCTGCATAACATTGGTGTCAGCTATTGCGGGGGAGGGAGGGGAAGCATAATGTAAACAAAACAGAGCTAGGGCTCTTTCACTCACCATGTGATATAAACATTTGTGTTTCTGATATCCCTTTGAATCCTTTTTTTTTTACTATTATATAGGATCTTTTAGGGTTACTATCAGGAGTTCTATTATGTTTTGCATTGCTTTTATCGCTTACACTATTTTGCATACTTCCCTTTTTATTTCAGAAAGCCTTGACTTTAGTTTATTATGGCAAGCAAGCATTATTTATCAAAACAAAGCCATACTCACATGGCAAATGGGCCAATTAGTGACATGGATGAGAGCGATGATTCATTTTCTAAAGAGTTAAGAGACCAATATTTCTAGTGATTCTCATACTGACATTTCGTCAGAGACATAACTTCATGAGTGTTTACCTTCTGCTTCCCGTGAATTGTTATTTCTTTTTGTAAATAGTCTTTCTTGAGTTTTTTTTATTGATTTTTAAAGTTTATTAATGTATTCTGTCAATTAAAATTTTGGAATAATTTGAATACTGCTTCCGAAAATTATTTCTCAATGTAAGCAACTTTTTTAATATATTTCCATCTAAAGTAAAGAAAAAGCTTATTAAGTGCTAATTTTTACATATATAATAACTTAATAATCTGAAATGGAGCCAAAATTTACGACGTTAGGACTTGAACCTTTTTTTTTCTAAATTTAGTCTCAGAGAGGCAAAACCCCCATCCTGTAGGATGATTTCTTTCAATTCCCATCTACCCTGAGGGAACATCTTAAAGGTGCACCATCTTGAAAGGGTTAAGCATTGCTAACTTTGTTCAAAGTTTTTCTAGTATGCAGGCAAATTTTTCTGATTTATCAGAGGATAAATAACAGACAATTGCATGCATAAAAGTTCTTCTGATTTTCCATTCATTACAAATTAAATAAAACCAATTTATCATTAGACAGTCTTTTAGGATGACATCTCTCAAAAAGTATTTAGATACTACTAACGCTCATGTATCTCCTATAGCATAAAATTTTGGTTAGTTTTAAATTTATGGATATTATATTCTTATATTATTCAAGAGATAAAAGAATTCATATAAGCTGATTAATAAAAAAAAAAAAGAAAAAAATCCTTTAAAAAAGGAATGTTGTTTTCTTTGTAATAAGGTATATTCCAACTCATTATTAAATGTATAAGAATTAGGATTGGATTAGGGGAAAGCACACAAATGTTATCTGCTTAACCCTTTGATGGAAGCATCCCACCTTTTTTACCAATTTTTATCTACCAGATGAAAGCTGCAAAATTCCGTTTAAAATACATATAATTACACCTTTTAGTTTTCTAAATGTATAACAGATGGCAGCAATAGTATTCATTCATGGAATAATAATAATTCATGGAATAATGAAATTAAAAGGTGGGACAAATATGTCCCACCGTGCAAGTAGTGCTGCTACTAAGACGCAGCATCATTCAATTTTTTTTAAAGTTGAAATATGTTCATTTCATATATAGATAATGCAAATTTATATTTTTTAATAAATTGCACTAATGCTAAAACTTGGGAAAAAATTTAGTATTTTTTCAAATAATAATAATAATAATAATAATAATAATTCTTACAGTCTGAAAATTTCACAGTAACACTGAAAATACTACAAGAGTCATCACAAAAATTTACTTTCAGAACATAAGAAAGGTAAATTAATAATAAATGCTCACTCATGACTGATTAACAAGAGAAAATATTTGCCATTTAATAATTCCTTTAAAATCTGACATACACATTTTCAAAGCTTAATAAATAAAAATTTTCGATTCTCTCCCCCTAAACTTTGATTAAGAAATGTAAGGAAATACAAGAGATCAACACATTCTATTACACTGTATCCATGTAATAGAATATATTTCTAGTATTACCTTACTTAATCAAGATTTAAAAAATATTAATTGAAAAGAAATGTAAAGTATATACAAAAAGAGTAACGAAATCTATAAAGGGGTTTTGTTATAAATTACTTTTGATAATCAGCAAAAAAAAAAAAAAAAAAAAAAAAAAAAAAAAAAAAAGAGAAGGTATAAAAGGTAATCTTTGATTGAACAATGTAATTTATCAACAGGTTTTTCACTCTCCAATTATAGATTATCCAAATCTAGAGAGTAATAATACACACTACATTATTCAGTAAAAGAATTTCCATCTTATTTCAATTTATCAGACCATTACTTGATGATTTTTTAATATTTTATACAAACAGACATTTGTAATCTGTGTGCATTTCAAGAATTTTAGCATACTGTGTTGGAGATTAAAACAAAAACAAAGATTTCAATCTTCACATCCATTTTCGGAAACTTATTTCATCTGAACAGCCAATTTTAACCCTGAAATGCATTTGACCAAAATATCCTGTGAGATCTATTGCACAGTTTCCACTGGCTTGCATAAGAAAAATACAAAGCCAAATAGTCTTCGATCAAAATTCATAATCTTACATTACTTTGTTTCACAGAAATAAACTAATGCTACCTTTACAAATCGGATAACAATAATAAGGACCTTATTCAACTGAAATATTTAGTGATCATTCATGACAAAATATCATCTGTGCGGAATGCATTCACTATCTTCATATTCAACTATGTAGAGATCATTATATGCCTGTTAGCAATCACTTGGTGGAATGATCATCTTACTCAGACACAATTGATCAAATCAAGATGGCAAGAGACGTATCATCACTAACCAAATGGCTATAAAATAATTTACTGCACCACGTTACATAGGATTTGCAGGAAACCCACTAGATTTGCCCAAAACATAATTTATTTCAGAATATATATTATTTCAATCACCATTTATAGATTTGGCCAACTTCTTTATGCCTAGCCTGCAGCTATCCACCAGTATTAATAATGCTGAAATATTTGTAAGTGTATTTAGATATATATGTTATTCTTTGTTTGTTTACATTCACAATACATTGCTATATATATGGTTGTTGCCATGGCAGTAAATGATGTTGCACAAAACAACCAATATGTCAGCCTAAAAAACATTTATCATGGTGATTCAACCTTATTATATATTTGCAAAGGATGGGAGGGAATGAGGAATTTAGATGCAGGACTAAAGGTCATTTTCACAAACATAATTCCCAGAAAAAGAAATATTTGTATAAGGAGCTACTAAAGGCAAAAACAAATTCCTTTGGAGATACTTTTTTAAAGTGTTGATGATGAGATACAAGGAAGTTTCATAAGCACTGCCCACCATGAAACCATCCCTTGTCTAACTTTTAAAGAGGGATCTACATAAGCTTATAAGATTCAGCTGAAGTTGGTTTTTATTGCATATGCTCTGAGAGGTTACATGAACCTGCATGGATTGCCAAAAATCTCTAAATGTTCATTACAGAAGGTAGGTAAAATTATGTTGCAATAAAGAAACCTATCTTAAAGCACAAACAAAAGATGTCATTAAAGTAAAAAGGCATTAAAAAGGTGTGTTGTTGAAATTGCAGGACTTAACATAAAGGTACAAATAGAGAAATGTCTGTAATAAGGTCTACCCAAGTACAAGCCACTTGCTGACATAACTGCACTGTAAAAAAATTTGCCAAGTGTGTTAGAGGGGGAAAAATTAAGCTCCCCTTTCAACTCATGGTGCTTCCTTCTCAAAAATCACTTCTGTGAAGAATAACTGCAGAATTTCACAAAGGTAGGTGCACGTAACATAAAGCTGTAAAATAACACACACACAATGGCTTGAGTGAGAAGCAGATAGGTAGTAAAAATATATTAACAATACTAAAAATAACTGTATTTTGTTTTAATTCAGCTATTATAAGATTTAAATGAACTTTTTTATTATAACTGTTTAAGAATATGAGTCCAAAACTAAGCAACAACACCAAATATGAGTACTTCTTTTTAAGAATGTAGTATTATATAAACATGGATTTAGAGATGCAAAATTATCTGAATGTGGTTATCAATGATTACAAATGTGAGGTTATAAGAAATCTTCACTGGTTGTGTCAAGAGCTATAAATGCAGATTACCACTTTAAGTAAACTTTTGACAACCATAACCAGTATGACATACTTGAAGCATTTCTACTGAATATGGAAACTCAAATTGTTTTTCAGAATGATCATTGCCACTGAATCTTTATTTTTGTGATTTTATGCAATTCAACTAAAAAGGCCTTAATTTTTAACCCTAGTATGGTGATGTCAATCAGATCATATTTTAAGTCGAATCTAAAGACAAAAATTAAGAAAAAGAAAACTAACTTCTAAAATGCTTTTTCGATCAGCATGAACTTTCAGTACTTGAATAGCCCAATCCAGCAACTGACCTCCTCGAGGTACTTTCACTCTCTCATGTTTCAATCGACCAATGCGATATTCATGTGGATCATCACGCCTAGGTGATGGACCTCGATTCCTCTCCAGAGCTAGATCCCTTTGATTCTGAAGCCAAACAATAGACCTAAAAGAATATACAATAAGTGTGAAGATCCCATACATAATAATATTGTTCAAGACAAGATTAACCTTAACCCGTTCAGTACGGGCATGTCATATATGCATCAGCAGCAAACATTATCTCATGGCCGGGTGTGTCATATTTGAAACACCATTTAATTCATTCTATGGCTGGGAGGCCCACATTTGACTTTTCAGATAGAACATTATATTAGTATTTTTTATTGCCGCTAGATGTAGCTGTATGTCTGTTATGGTGAAATATAATGAAAGTTAAGTATGTTTTACCTTCATTCTTACGTAATGTTTTTATTTTTGGTATTTTGTTTCGGAATGAGAGCGAGATTCGTAGGTGGCTGTTGAGCAATGTAATGTCTCTTTAACTGCATCATTTGATATACACAAATGCATGGTTTCTTGCTGCATCAGCCCACCAGCGGCCAAGCGGTAAAATCGCTGAACACTGGTAGTTCAGTCCAAGGTTCAAATCCCGCGAACGGGCTGGCTGCATGGGCGTTTTCATGGTTTTCCCCATGTGTAACGTGTATATGAGCCAGTTTCCCTTAGAAAGTCCTCCACGAAGGCATCCCTCCCCTTAGACAGATAGCCCTAGTGTGCTTTGCCGTATTCTCAATACACCATTCTTGCTGCATCGAGGTACTTTTTATTTTTGTGATACAGTGGGATATATGTTCTATCATTAGAGATTTTTTATATTACTCTCAGATTTTTCTAGCATTGAGATGAATATTTTGCATCATCAGTGTTTTGTATTAGTTGAGAAATACTTGGTGACAGAGGAGAATCTTGTCTAATAGCGCATGCGCCACCAGAATTGGCACTGAAATATATTCTGTGAGAAACTCGATTTTCATGGTACATTCAAATTTGCAATTCATATGTTACGCTGTAAGGTGAAACCTAGCACCAGAGTGTCGCTATGGAAAATAAATGTATTGAAAGTTAAGAGTGTGTTATTTTCTGTAATCTGTTCGGTGTTATATTATTGTGATATAGCTATTGACGGGAAATAGAATAATTCAGTCAGAGAAACGTATTTTTTTAATAGCAAACGAAAGCAGTACCTGAAGGTATAATATAAACAAATGCTAATTCGTTAGTGTTGGGTAATGTAATAGTTCTTACTGCGTCATTTTGTATAGACGAACATGCTCTCAATGTTCTCGAATACCTTTTAATTTCATTAATTATTTTTAAATTTTATTATAGTGGAGTAGACGCTCTTTCATTAGAGACTTTTCTATTACTCTTTGAGTTTTCCGGCATTGAGACGAATATTTTGTATCGCTTAGTGAAAGGAGTTTTTTTTTTTTTTTTTTAAATATGCTAAATGAGTCAAATTTGCTGAGTAAAACAGCAGCAGATATTCTGTTCCTGTGACATATGCAAAGTTGGACTTTGCATGTCACAGGAATGTGAAAATGTTTCAAAGAATATCATACACTGTCTCTTTTTCGAAATTTTGCTTCCTTTTTGTTATCTGCCCTTTGAATTTTTATGAAAGACAGTTTTAATATTTTTTAATTTTAATTATGTGTTGTGCTAATGAAAATCTGTGATTGTTTGGATATTTTTCCATATATATTTATTTGTGGGATAAGGAGAAAATTATATTATTCTAGAACGAATATTTTATAAAATTTTTAAAATAAAATATAATAATAAAGCTTTAAAATTAATTCTGACAACTACCTGAATGTTCTCATAATATACCAAAAATTGGAATAATTGGATGAAAAATTTAATTTATATGAATTTTTTCCCAAAGTTAGGCCTAGCAATGCGAATCGCCCGACCCCACAAAACATCGCATTCGGTTAACGCGCTGTCCCAAGACAACGCTTCAGTAACAGAGATGCCCATCGTGAAGGGGTTAGGATTCAGTTGCTGTGTATTAAGAATTAATACATATTGTTGATCTTGAAAGTGCTAAAATATGACAGAAATTAATCATTATTTTCAGTTTCTTAATTCCATATATATATATATAGGAGGAAGCCCCAAACTAAAACTTTTGTATTTCATTTATGATAAACTATTGTAATTCTCCTGGACCACACATCTGATCACTGAAATGCATTTAACAGTTCTCTGCCCTATCTGCTGAATAATAGATTCGATGGGTTTACGTGCTGAGTTGCTGGTGGACCAGCTTATTGGTAGTTTTCTTGATACTTGTGATATTTGCAATATATTCTGTAATAACCATTATTCTATAAGTTAGTGGCCTTTCAAGAAGATTTTAGTTACATTCTCAGCATAAATTTATAAATAATAATTGCCATTAAAACAGTCATCAACTAGAAATTTAAACTTTTAACTATTGAATATGATCCAAACCGGAATCTATAGTAAGTCATCTTTCTAGATGAACAGACCTTAACGCTTACACAAACACAAAAAGTACAGTTTTTTTTAATAGCAATTCTAAAGTATGTCTTTTGTTTTGATACATATGATTTATATTTATAGGTTTCTATCATAAAGTAAAATGTTCCACAAAATAAAGCACAATAAAATATTTTATACATTACCATACAATAAATGCAAGTACAATTACTGAAGTTATATTTTTACACATAATTGGCCATTTACATAAAAAAGAAAAGTGTCACATGCTCAGCACTTAAAAGATAATTTTGGAAATATTTTATTTACCATATGAACTTTGATAGCACTACATCTTGTTCCTTGTGATAAAACAGAATCTGGGCTCATTAATTTTGTGATTCGTGCTGGAAACTGTAACATTGCAAAATTTACACTACTTGGTCTCCTTTTATCTGACAGAGAGTTATCCAAATGGACGTCATAGTTAAAAACTTTTACACGTTAGTACATGTAGGTACATTTCATAGTTTTACTTCTGTGAATTTTTCTTTCAGTTTTATTACTAATTTTTTACTTTTAATACTCATATATGTAGAAACATAAGCACATTTTATGCCAAAATGAAATTCTTACATGAATCAGCTTTTATTTTACTGTTATTTCTAGAAGTAAACCTTTCAAAAGGGTTATTTATTAATGTTTTCTATTTATGCCTCATTACAAAAGAAGTTATAAAACACTGTCAACTAACAATGGAAGATGGTCCTAGGAAGCTGATCCCAAACTTATAAAACTCGGATTCTTCAAATAGCTATCCTCCAGCAACTGGTAGACCAGATGTTGAAGATCGAAATCCTATTCTGTCGTATTAAGACAAATTGCTCTGGATTTCAAAGTGGATGATAGTATTAAGCTTTGTGCACTGCAGTACACCGATGAAAAATCTATGGCCTATTATGATGCCTTTTTCTCTTGTACCAATCCGGTTTAAGAAAATGCTTGGTTAGCTATAGTACACATTTATACTAACTGTCCTCATGCTTCCCAAACACTTCTTTGTCCAATTAAGTCACATCTCTCTCATAGGGTATATTTGGGGACTTCAAGCCCCATTCAGTTACTTCCGAACATTGGTGAACTAACTTCACAACATAAGATAATTAGGGTAGAAATCCTGCAGGACACCATCTCCAAAATATTACCATGCTGGATAACAGCTTACATCCAGAACAGAATTGAGCCAATGCATTAGTTAACATTCTCATTTTGGGGAGCTGTTTCACAGAAAAAACATCATAGCTACTAACTTCAGCCTCAATCAGATCACTCCATTATAATGCATGAATTTTTATAAATTAGAATGCCTATACATAATGATGTTTCAAAAATACTAGTAAAATGGAGGGGGAAAAAAAGGTATGATCATGGCACAAAAATACTACCGTAATTTCGGGTAGATAAGCTGCGGCTTATATGTGTTTAAAAGGTGAAATTTTAAGTTGGCGGTGTATCTGAGAGAATTTTTTTTTTCTTCTGTCCTTAAAACTTTGCTAATTCAGATCGTAAGCAATGCAGAAGCGAGGTGGTAAGAATTCGCTGCAACATTCTAACCTCACATTGCGCTAAGGCAGTGCAATGAGTCCAAACTCCTCTAAGGTAGGTGGCGCTCTCTGTAAAGACACTGTAATGCATTTACTTCCTTCTAAACTCCATGGTTTTTCCTGCACTTTCCTATGACTTTTTGTTTTACTGGCAACAGCTACATTTACTTGCCAAATGCTGTGTTCATTCATACACGTTTTTACTGCTTTGTAGCTTGCTTTTTGTTTGCCTTATCATTTGCACTTTAAAAATATATTATTATTGTTATGGCTCCTACTCAAAGAAAAAGTTATACAGCTGCTTTTAAGCTTTCAGCAGTGAAGAAAACCATCGAAGTTGGAAATCGCTGTGCGGCTAAAGAATTTCAAGTTGATGAGTGATGCATTTGGCGGTGGAAATCTGAACAAGAATTAGAGAAAATGCCTAAGAATAAAACATCTCATCAAACTGGTGTCATAGCCTGGCCTGTTTTGGAAGACAATTTAGAGAAATGGACAATAGAGAAAAGAGAAAGTGGATTATCAGTATCAACAGTTAAAAATTCACCTTCAAGCAAAGGCATATGCTCAACAAATGGGCATTAAAAATTTTGTTGGAGGACCTAATTGGTTTTTCAGGTTCATGAAGTGAAAGAAATTATCCGTCTGGACCAAAACAACAGTTGGACAAAAGCTTCCAGTGGACTGGCTTGAAAAAAAGATAGCTTTTTTGGAGTACACATCTAAGAAAATTAAAGAACAAAATTTGGACTAAGCGCCAATTACTTTTGACTGTCCTCTAAGCAGAACTGTTCATTCAATAGGGGAAAAAACTCTTTCAATGTTAACAACCAGGAATGAAAAGACTTCTTTTGCTTGTGTTTTGGGTTGTGCCGCCAATGGAGAAAAGTTAACCCCTTTGAAAATTTTCAAAAGAAAAACAATTCCAAGAGGAAACTTCCCAAAAGAAGTTATTTGCACCAACAAAAAAGGATGGCTGTGCGAAGAAGTGATGTTTTGGATGAGAGAAATTTGTCGGAAAAAGAAAGGTGCTTTTCCCAACCCCGAGGACTCATTGTTCTGGATTCAATGCACTTCCATTCAGCAGATACGGTAAGATCTGAAGCAAAAAACCTAGCACGATGTCTCAGTGATACCAGGTGGGCTTACAAAAATTTTACAGCAGCTAGATCTCTCTATCAATAGAACTTTCAAGCACAAACTACGAAAGCAGTGGGAGAAATGGATGCAAAGCGGACTCCATTCCTTCACGAATTCTGGACCAATCAGAAAAGCTGAGGAGGCTACCTTATGGGTCTATAAAGTATGGAAATCAGTCCGAGCTGATACGATCACATTAGCTTTCATTAAATCGGAAATCATTGGAAAAGAAAATGAAAGTGAAGATAGTGATGTTGAAAGAAGTGATTTAGAATAAAATAATGAAACTGGACATAGATAGTCATTTGTTAAATTTATTTAAATGAGACATCAATGAGTCAGATTTTGAAGGTTTTGTAAAAATAAACGTAGTTTAATTTAATTAGAAAATTCTGTTTGTTTATCTAATTTACATATTCTTTTTAATAGTGTGGTAATTTATACTGATAAATGGAGTTTATTGAAAACGTAAAAATAATATATTAGAAATCATCAGAGTTCGTTTTCGGCAAGTTCATGGTAAGATGTTTCTTCTTTATTTATATATTACTGATTATATTTATGTTGTAAATGTTATAAATGATGATTACACCAATATGGCAGGGAATTACTGAATGAATGAATATCAACTGCCATGCTTTGAATGCTTGGCTGCAGCGTATACGGCGGCGTGGCTTATCCAATGAACTTTTATTCTTTTTCAATCAATTATCATGTGTGCGGCGTATACACCAGGGCAGCTTAACTACTCGAAATTATGATACTTCTTTACTCTTCATCCACATCGCATATTGCTAATTCATTTAGTATATAGACGCAGGTACCTTAAAACAAGCAGATGCTAACATAGAAATAAATTTTAAAGAAGATACTAACTGGAAAGATATCTTTCTTAGCAAACATAGGATAACATTCATGTTATTATTAATGATATTTCATTTATACAAGGGAGTTCTAACACTAATCTCATTGGTTTTAAAATTTAGTAAAATATATTGTTGTAAAATATATTTGGAAAAACTGATTGATATTTTACCTTTTACCACAATGTTAAGCTATTAGTCACTAGCAATATATAAGTATCCTTTGATAACCATTTTTTAGGAATGATGTACTTAAAATTAATTTCAAGCATACTATTTTTAGAACAGAAAGGGGAAACTACTAAATTTAAAGGAAAATTTCAGAAGCTAGTTACATATAATGCAAACAAATAAGTACCATTATAGTATATCACCAAAGACAATTAATTATGTATGCACATTTGAATAGCATAAAGAAAACATATGAACGTCAAAACACAGAAAATGTGAACACCAGCATTAAAATCAGTGATCACGAAATTAAGCAAATAGAAAATTATTTATAAACTTTCACCTGGAAAAATTAGGAATTAAAAAAAAAAATTAACTTCTTTATGCTAAGAATACAGAAGAGAGGAAAATAATTTTCTTTTATGCTTCAGACACTGAAACGAAAGATTTCATTAATAATGATCTCATGCTAAGAGCAATTTCAGGATGGAATGAAAAGTAGTTCAGTGTTTTAAAATTGAGGCTTTGTATAGAGAGAAAAAGCATCCGACACTTGAAAGTTTTTCAAAAATGATTTAATTAAAAGGAAAGCACATTCAATTCAATAATAATAATTCGTTTAATGAAAACCTTTCTTCTTTTTTTAAAAAAAAAGCCCAAAAGGGCTATTAGTCTTGAAGTGGCATTACGCATTAAATCACTATAAACGATTGTATTACTTTTCAAATTGTTGCCACCAAATACTATCGCCCTCTATTATATTAAAAGAAACTAAATAATAAAGAATTTATATAAATTTATGTACATTTCTCGTAGGGCACTTGGAAACCCAAATTTGGAGTGTCCAATTTGTTTTATTGTACATTTCATATTCTGTAAAACTTTCACAAACTTTTCATTACAAAACTCGCCAATTTCAAAGCAAGCAGTGGCAACACTGTATAGAACAAAACATTTTTATCTCCAACACACGACGCAGTCTATTAAAATTTCTAAAGATATGCTGTTTTTAAATATTTTTAGCCCAAATGCTCTCAAAACATGTATGTGTATGTAAAAGAAAACAAAAAATGGCTGTGCAGACATAACATAAAATCTGAAAATGTTTAGATTTTTATTAATTGAATTCTTTTTTTTTTTGGGAGGGGGTATGATTAACTGAATTATAAGTATGCATTTAAGAAAACCTAAATTATTAAAAAGTATTTTCATAAATCTTACAGCTGAAAATTCCAGGCCAAATTTCTCATTTAAAATAAATTCCGAAGGACAGAAAACCCTACTTTCTATGTTAAATCCTAAATTTATTTTAAAATAACATGAAAATGAATTATCTATAGTAGTTCCACATAATAATATTAGTAATGATAAAATTTTATGTGAGCTTAGAAAAGTACAAATTATTACACATGAATTATCAGTAAATAAAAGAAATAAATTTACCTTGATGCACCGAAAGCAGTGCAGGTAAAATACAGACTTCTTGTCTCAAACGGGAAAATCATTGGACATGAATATGTCAGATATTCACACCAATCAGGCTGTGCTCCAGAAGACAGAACCAAAGGATCCTAAGAAAAAATTTTATGAATACTATTAAGAGATGCATGCACAATGTAAAAAATATACATATGAAAAACTGCGAACCATCGTAATGCCCACCTCTTTCAATTAATTCTCATACATGCTCATTTTATTTAAGTTATTCTGATAGCAATCAAGCTGTTGAAATGTACTGGACAGGAATGAAATTGGAACTAAGAACAAACTGAAGCAAACTAATAATTTCAAGTCAAACAAAGTTTTCATTAAAATTTATATTTATGATGAGAAAGAAAGTATTAATATTGCACTTTTATAATTTTATGCTTATAACGAGATATGGATACGAAGAAATCAATTTAAATAATAAATCTTTATATATTCAAAAAGAATTAAGAAAAACCTAGTATTTTAGTAAATTAATTGCATAACTAAAGGACACAAATATTTCAGGTGCTAGCATCATTTTTCTTACAAAGTAAACATTTTGAAAGCAGCACACATAAGAGTTCTGCAGTAATAAAGAAAATTTGATTATTTTCCTGATATTTTGTGGGCTGTTGAGCATCTGCTCTTATTCTCCCTCATGCCTTCCAATTCACACTGCATCAAAAAAATACTATGTACAGATACACACAAATCTATGCAAAAAAAAAAAAAAAAAAAAAAAAAAAAAAAAAAAAGAAGAGTATTTTTAAGAATTTATCCACTGTTCTGGTCTTTGGCATGGCAATTTCACAAAATGCTCATATAATACATAAAATTACACGTACTGCCACACACATTGCAGTTTATGAATGCTAAACGGTTTAAAGATATGCTTGCAAATAAATCAGAAGGTTTAAAGCATCATACTATGTGATACTTCCTAAAATCCTCCCCCGGGGGAAAAAAATAGAATAGAAATTGACATATACTCATAGACTCCAACGTGCAGCAAAACTTGTCAGTAGTCAACACATGAATAACATTTTTACAGCTTTGAAAATATGCACATAACACATGTTGTAATTAACCATTAATTAATTTTTAATTAATCATTAATTGTAATCAATTTTATTACATTTAAAATCTACATACATATAAAACTGAATATTAAAAATATGTCTTGTAAATTATACACATTTAATTAGAAAATTTCATTTTCTATACCATATCACTAAATCTACTAATATTATGAGTAAAGCAAGTATTTTAAATCACTACTAATCATAGAAAAAATTAGAATCCATAAATCATATATCATTATTCTGGGCTTGATTTCCACAGGAAAATGTAATTTAAGAAAATTCAGATAACCAAGAATTATACATGTAAGTATTAAAAAAATGCTTATAATTTTAAGAATGCAAAGATTTATATGCAAAATGCTTAGTAAGCTTAAGTTCTGATTTTGAGAATGATTTTTCTGTAACACAGGCCTTCATTTGCCTGTATATTTATTTTTTTTCAATCAAAAGTGGTTCGAGAGTTTTAGGACCTAAATTTGGTCAAAATTCAGTCTGATTTTTTTTAACAATATCAAAAATTCTTTCACAAACTGCATTTGAATGAAGTATTATTAATACAGCAAAGCATTACAATAGGCAATACTTTGTATTTAATACACCCATTCATATTTTTTAATTTGGCAATTTCTCCCCATGCTATATAAATATACAAATCTACAATTTCTTTCAAATCATCTACTTGATACACAGAAAACTCCATTTCCACTTGATTAAGATATTTTTCATCAATAATGGATGGGAAAGTATTCATCAGGTAAAGAATAGATGAATATGAAACTTCAGTTCTCAAGTTGATGTCAGCAATTTCAGCATGTTTCAGAAATTCACTTAGTGGAAATTTATCAATTATATATGAACATGCAGTTACAAAAAAAGCTTGCACAGAATTGAAAAATGAGTTCATTTCACTTTCATTCAACTTGGCATTTTTTAAATGCCACGATGCTACACCTTTAAATTTTCTGATCACATTACTAGCATTATCTGAAGAAAATAATAAGCAATTTTTCCCTCTAAACCTTTGCTTTTAAAGTTTTCATTTATACAATGAAAAATACCTTCTCCGTTATTATTCATGCATTCTAAAATAGAAATCAATGAAGTAATTATCACTCCCTTTTCTTTATTATAATATGTTATATCAAAGGGTTCAGTTTGTTATCATTACTTCCCCCAGTACTTAGAGAAAATGATGTACTGCGTGCTGATCTTATAATATCGGTAACAGTACTTTCTGCAAGGGTTTTCACAATAGCAGTAGTTTTGGTACAGCTGCAGCTAAATTTGTTTGATATAGCAGAATTCGAAAATATTCCTTTGAAAAAGCTCTTTAGGAATGATCCAAAATGGAAATCGATAGATTATGTTCAATTCAAAATTGAACAAAATAGCACTCGGTTTTTATAGTATCTGTTTCATCATCTTTACAGTGCCAAGTTCTTTATGCTTTTGAAAGAAACATGTTGTTTACAGTCACCCTTTCTACCATGCACAACTGAGAAGTTTTTGTTGCATACACTGCAATGTGCCCGATTTACAGAAATTTCAGATGATTTAAATGCATAGAAATTCTGAAGAATATTAATCTTTAAATTTCTCCTTTTATAATTTTAGCACCTTCATTTGAGGCAGCATAATTAACAAAAACTTCTGGCTCAATCACAGCTCACAATACACACATGCTACGCTCTCGTCGCAATCTAAACAATAGAGCCGAGGCAGGCTAAACAAGTCCAGCAGCAAAGAACTTGGGTGTGCGGGGAACGATTGACAAGTCATTAACAGTTGGAGTTACTGATCTATGACTGGCTATTCTTCAAAATCAGCAATGCACTCAATATATGATGATATATTGTGATATATGATGACACAAGTATTCAGCCAAACATCAGATGAATTGGTTGCTTCCATTTTGCATACTAGTTCTCCTACCCTGTTTATGTAAAATCTGTAGTTTTTTCCATACTTTTCGTAGCTCATAATTTTTCACGAATTTCCGTAGAAACTACGGAGAATCTGTAGCAGTTGGACGTTATATATACTGCATACAAAACAATTACTGCACATAATCAAAATATTGATACCATTTTCATCATATGCATAGTGGGTTACTGCTTTCCTGTGATTTACAAATCAGAAGACTAAAGGTGTAATACTAACTAGGGCACTAACACCACACTAAGTGGTACTAAACAGAACCACTGCCCCCCCAATTAAACTAGAGAGTGATACCAACTGCACAGAGAACCAACTTCTATTACACACAATCAAGTACTGATTCAAAATCAACACATTGGGTATTTATGTTAATTGCACACTGGACCATTGTTATACTACAAGCAATAATAGGATTCACTGTTTTAGACAAACAACATCCATTTGTTGAGGCATTAAGTCAGAAATTCTCCATTAAAATGAATTGTCTGCGATGCTTTGGCTCAATTACAGATACCCCAATGGGATACAGCAATTATCCAGGGTAATGTGAATCTCAAGTAATACAAGACATGTTTCAAACAAAAAAAGCTCGCACTGCTGCTTTATTGGTGCAAGAATTATGCGACTGCGTATGTTCACTGCTGAGATACTTTTCATGTCTCCTCATTAGAACAAAGAAAATGTGTTCAAACACTGCAAAAGGACATGAAAGAATGTGAGGATTTCTGTTGAATGTTAATAAGGCTCTGGTACAATTTTATGCAGCAGCATGGAGGCAACCAATAAATGGGCTTTTCTTAAAACATTATTTTCCAAAATCCAACTATTTTTTTAATTGTTTACAAATGAGCAATGATATTGACCAAATGTACAATGATAGCTTACAAACTTGAAATAATAAAAACTGGGAGGTTCTTGTGAGGAAAACCTGGAGGACAGCATAGCACAGCAACAGTATTTCAAAATAATGCCACACTGATTTGTATTCAGTTTATAATGCCCGATTCCAATTTCTGAATAATTTAAAAATGATTTTGATGTAAAATATGTCAATACTTGATTAGATATTCTTTGCATAATTTTCCTTCATGATTACGTTACACTTTTGTATGAAGAAAACTCTAAATAGGGGAAAAAATCTTTTATTTATCAAAGCACTGCACCTGGTCAAAATATCCAGACAACTAGAGTTGTGGAGTCGGAGTCATGGAATTGGATTTGGGCAGATTTTGGGGTAAAATGAGTCGGAGCTGGAGTCGCTAAAAACAGGTCGACTCCGACTACAGTTTTTGTTCGAAAGTTTGAATTTGAAATGAAATTAAAGTGAATTGAAGAAATTAATGACAAACTGAGTTATTATTTTTATTTATGGACTATATACATTAATACATACTGTATTTCACGGCATATGAGACACACTTTTTTTCCTAAATTTGGTCTCAAAAAAGTCACCTGCGTCTTCTATGTGAAGGACACAGGTTAACGTTCAATACTGAATGCTATTTTTAGCCCGGATAAAGGTCTAGACACACATAACTTTTTCTACATCTGCCATAATTATTTTGCGCATGCGTGAAATATTTGTCGCCAAAAAGCGCGAAAGCTTGAAGCTGATGTCAAAGTTCGAACAGGTTCAACGGTCACATTATGTCTATGGAGCCTTTCCTTCTTTATATAGACTTTCTTTGACTCAGCTGACACACATGTTGGTATCGGTGTTTTTCTGTATAAACGTGTCGGTATCAGTGATTAAAACTATTTGTTTAAAAAAAATACCCTGGAAAATATGACTACGGGAAACAAGAGATTAAGCTATACAATTCAGTATATACTAGGAGTGTTAAACTATGCCAAAGTGCATGGAAACAGAGACACAGCAAAGCATTTCGGTCCACCACCTACCGAAAAAATTATACTTATTTGGCGACTGCAGGAAGATCAACTGAAGACTGCTAAAAAACAAAACATAACCTTTGATGCCCAGCTGCATCTTAACTTGAAAATGCCGTAAAAATGTGGGTGATAGATAAGAGGAAATCTGGGATAAGTGTTTCAACCAACATGATAATCAATGAGGCCAA